GACAGGGGCTCCCCGCAGCCGGGAGCGTTGCCGTGACCATGCCAAGGGCTGTGCAAGCATTAAGCCGTGAATGGGAAGACAGTCAAGCCGCTGGCTTGGGGGTTATGAGGGGAATGCCCTCCCCGGGGTCCGCAGCGTGGCGAGCAGTGCAGGGGCATCCCTTCCTTGCTCTTCCCACGAAACCAGTGGAGCCACAACCGAGTTGCAAATTGCAGCGAAAACAAGATTCTTCTAACGGCGCGGGGGCACGGGGAGCGGAATAAAACGCCTCCCTCACGTACACCTTTTGTCTCAGACTGCCGGTGCGTTGAAGGAAAGGGCTGTATAAACTTTCCAGGTGCCTGTGGAGCGGGCCCTGGAGCTGGGAAGGGGTGAGTGCCCGGGCACAGCACTCCCGGTGCATCGAGCGCCTGTGCCGTCCTCTGCCTTTGGAGTCAGCTCAGAAGAAATGCATAAATAATTAAGCCAAGGTACTTACACACACATGTTTTATGGCAAATGGCTGTGTGGTTCGTGATCATTTTTTCCAGAAACAGGTTTTATGATAATATAGTAAAAATATTAAATTAGAAAATGCCTCACTAAGGGTGATAAAACCTTACTACAGTGGAAATAGGTAATTATCCCCTCTACAGCCTAAATGACAGTTTAAAAGAAATAAAAATGTTAGTGCTCATTACTTGCTTTTGTAGGTTGCAATAAAGGGTAAGTTAAATTTTAATTCAAGGAAGACCCCTGTATCGACCTGCTTCTTCCACACTCTCTACCTGAGGTGTAAGTACTGTTAATTACTCGCATAGGTTATTCCTCAGCACATTGCTAAGACCAGTACCTCTTTGTGCTAAAGTCACCTTTCCTTCATCTGGAGGTAGCGGACTCGCAGTGGGGTGGGTTGTTTCAACTCAGTGGCTCAAGTCTGATGTTTAATATATGTGGGTGGAGGAGAGAAATTTTATATTTTTTAACCAAAATCCAAGTTCATTATGCGTAGCCTTAAGGGGGCTGAAAGTATTAAAATCCACACTTACCCTGGTGAATTGAAACAGAGACAAGGTTAAACCTGGAGGATTGATGAGTTTTACTCTCTGCATGGTTAAATCCTGCTGAGGGGAGATGCTGTAGAATAAAGGTAGCCTAGATGATGAGAAGAGGAAAAAATGAGGTTGGGTTACGATTGGCTTTTTTTTTGCAGGGTGAAATATTTGTTCTGTTTCGGGGGTGGTGGGGTTACCTGATTTCCCTCCTTCTCCTGTCACTCTCTGCCAGGGTGTCTACCTGTGCTGCGTTATTATCGAAACAGCTCCACTTGAATTTTTACTTCAGCAGAGGTTCCCAGTGTCGTGCCCGGCAGGATGGGGGCCACGGGGGTGCTGGGCTCGGTGCTGCAGGTCCTGCCTGCCTGCGGCTGTGGGTGCAACCCCTCTTTGCACCCACGAAACCTGGGGTGCGAACGTCGGAGTCTGTCGGTGCTGGCAACAGTTCTCTGCTGGCAAAGACAAATTCTTGCTTGAAGTCTCCCTGGGCCCTGCTTGTTTGAAAAATGACTGTTTATTTAAAATCTGTAGGATTGGAGCAAATTCAGCATTGATCCCTGAACTCTTGTACCTATCAGAAGACTATCAAAAAACAAAAATGAAGACAAAAGCCTGTGGAGACTGGTTCTCCACCAGTGGGAAAGGCCAAGGCAGGCTGCAAAGAAACATTACTTTTGGCTTTTCCCAGTGAAAACACAGAAACTCTTGCTGTCTTTGGCTAGTTTCTGTGGGGTTCCCCAGAACGTGCACGTTGTATTTGAACTTCCCTATGTTACTGAGGACTGTAAAAAACATGAATGCATATATAAGAGGAGAAGGGCATATGTAGAGAAACTGCAGGCGGGAGCCCCTCTGTGCGGCGGAGGTGATGTTTGGGAACAAGTCCCCTTTGAATTTTGCATTTGGCAAGCAGCCAGCGGTTTCGGCAGGTATGAAGGCCGTTACCTGTGAGTGGGGCTTGTGGACAAAATAAAAGCCGTTTCTGTTGCTGGCTGGCACCAGGGTGTGGGCGAGGAGCAGGAGAAGACCTGCACGCAGTTTGCTGCGAGTGTGTGCAGTGCTCAGGCTGAACGGGGTCTGCCTGGGAATGCATTCCTGCCCCTGGCAGCACTTCCACAGGCTCCAAAACAGGATTTCTTCAGCCCAGCCTTTTGTGTTGCCCGAGCGACTCAGCGGCCGGAGGAGAGTGTGGGGTTTGTAGCCAGGATAAAGAATATCCCCACACTGGGGAGCCATCCGCAGCGGGAGCAGTGGATCCTCCCAAGCAACAGCCATGCCTGCAGAGCCACGAGATGGATGAGGACCAAGAGCTGAAATAGCGTGGAGGTCGGCTGTACAAAATCTGTGGGAGAGCACACAGAGCGCTGCAATCGTGTGGAGACCGTGTTCTTCCTTAGCAAAGCACAAAGGGATGGGAGCGAGTCCACGTGCGAGAGCGGGGTCTTATTTAATAGCTGAGAATCAAACTTGTCTGGGTTAGTGGCTGTGCTGCCTGTGCCCAGCACGTGCCTTAAAACAAACAAAACTGCAGGAATGGCACACACTAGAGGCTTCGAGCCCTGAGCTGAGGCAACAGCAGCATCCCTACGGTAGAAGGGAAAATGGAAACAATCCCGAGAAGAGGAGCCGCGAGACCCTGCTGGCTGCTGGGGGGGGGTTCTTCTTTGCAGAGATGCTTTCCTCTGGCACAGGAATGAACAGCCTGGAGTCTGCCGCTGTCAGCTTCCCGAGGCCTCGTGTGGCTCCCACTACGGCACCTGCGGGCTGGAAACCAGTGAAGTGGGTGCATTTGGTATTGTCATTTATCTTCCTTAGATTGTTTTCCTCAATGCAATTAAGGCACCCTTTTTAAAACGAGGCATATACCAGAGAGAGGGGAGAAAGAATGAAATCGGTGATGTTTCATTGAAAGCACCCAAACCACTCAGCCTCCGCTGACAGGAGCAAGCCACGAGTGTTTGTCAGCTTTGCCCACCTGAGTGTGAAATGATCTTCTATCAAAACACCAGTTTCAGCTTTTCCCCCTCTGCTCCCGACATGTGAACCCTGCTGCGGACAGGAACCGCTGCGCACTGCCCAGGAATTTCATCGAGATTGCAGCACAAGTGGAAATGTTTGCTCAGTGTAATGACGGGGTCTGAGCCGAGCTGGCAAAGCGAGGCTGGAGGGCCGTGATTGTGGGAGGACTAAATAGCATCGCTCTGCATTTTCCTTCCGATCACTTGACGAAGCCTTAAAGTCGCAATGTCCTTGTTGGCAGTAGTGCCGCTCGCCAGCTGATCTCTCAGTTGAAACGGCAAAAACGAGTTATGTTTATCAGTTAACAGTCAAGAAAGATGGGAAAGGTTGTAGGCTTGGGTGAGGCGTTCCTCTCCCTCCTCCTTTTTTTTTCTTTCAAGTGTCAAAGTTTTCAGCTTTTCATGTATCAGTTCCATTTTCTAGAAGTGTTTTGACTTTGCATTTGTGTGAAACTTGCCAAAACCTGTGTGCACGCTCCTGATTTAACACAGATACTCCAGTTGTGGCTTCATAGTCCCAGCTGAGCTTTGTGCAGAAAACACGGCGCCAACCATTTTGTTGGGTAAGGAAATGCATCCCTCACCAAAGACTCATTTTCTGAGGATAGAGCTGCTGATTGGTTAATTAGCTTCTAAATGAAAATTAATTTAAAAGAGATGTGGCCCTGTGAATTAGAATGGTTTCTTGTCTCAGTGGTCCATGCACGTCCATCCATCCTCCTGCACTGCTGGAACGGATACTTTGTTCCTTGTCTTTCTGGGATTAATGGCTGGCGGTTTTCTGCCATCACCGTTCAAAACGTGGAAGTTCCTTCTTTCACAAGGCTGACAGGTAACTTTCTCCAGTGGAAGTGTCTGCAAGAAGCAGACAGTTTTCAAACCAGTTGCCATCTTTTATTGATCTGTGAAGGAGCAAGGCATCAAAGCAGTCCCTAGCGAGAGTGGGCCCTGTTGTGGTCTTAATTGAGGAGGCAGCCAAAATCACAGTGTCATCTCTGTGAGGTCTGAATTTCATCCTTTGAGGCTGTGTTTTACTCATTCTTGAGCGGTGGCGAAGTCTCTTTCCTCTGCCTGTCCTGACAGTTTTTCTGGCCTGGCTTCTGCAGCAGCTGCTTTCCCAGGCGCTGGCCCTGACGAACCATCGAGATGCTGGCCCACAGCAATGGGCTCGTTTGGTTATTGCTCTAATAACCCTGGTCGTTGTTAGCATGCTGTGAAGGAAAAAAATCCTGTCCTCCGTGTAACCAGCACTTCGCTCTGTGTGTGCTGCCCTCTTACAACAGGCTGTTGCTTTAGAAAGCACGTATGTATGTAGAAAATAAGGGTCTCCCGATGCTTTTTTCTTGATTTCCAGAAATGCGTGATTTACAAAACTCCTCTCTCCTTTCCCCCATCTCTCTTAGCAGGTTACTTTGGTTCTAAAATTAAAGATAAATAACACTTTTTTTTTTTTTTTTAAGGGGCAACTTGCCTCTGTTATCAGAATTGCTGCATATGTGATATTAATTGGAATCTTGTTGCTGGGTCATTTTCATTGTTTGTCAAGTACCGTCAAGTCCAAGAAAATGTATGAAAACTAAATTATAGTCCCACGTAGACTGTCTGATTGAATCCTCCTTATGGCTCTGTGGTCTCGTACATCCTATTAAAATATTCAATCTTGTTTTCTTACTTGAAGAGCCTGTCTGTAAAGGGCAAACTTATAGAAAACATCATTCTCTAGAGATATGGTATCCAGCCACACTGAAATATTTACATACTTCTGTACTGCATGTGATTGGTCTTATGCAAGTTCTCCCCTTTGCCTGTATTTATTAATAAAGATTGTTGAATGCATTTTTAATTATACAAGGCCTTTCATTATAAGGAGTGGATGGTTTTGCTGGCAGCCTCTTGCTTCCATTTTGACCTTGAAAAGTAACTTTTCCCCCCTTCCTCTTTTTGCCAGGACGGAGCTTTATCGTTCACTGTTTGGAAAACTAACAAGTCCCGAAGAACCGGCGCAGAATTAGCATCAGCCCTTTGCACCAGGATTGACTGTGCCAGATTGACCGTGCCGGCAGGCTCCGCACCGCGCACCCCCCGGCCTGGCCAGCGCGTGGGGGTTCCGCTCCCTGCGCTTGTGTGGTCACTTACAACTGCCCGGGAGCACCCAGAGCAAGGTCTCTCCAGCTGCTGGTTTGTTCCCAAAAACCTCACTGAAGGAACATCAAATACGGTTACTGCTAAATCACGCAGGCTCAGAAAGAAGGGGGGGGGGTGAGGAGACATTTAGCCTGGCTGAACACCCTCCTCTCTAGCTTTAAAATGAACTCTGCTTCCTCCCAAAGACAATCCATTTTTAACTATTCTCTTTAAATTCCTGACCTTGATTTTGCAATATCTGCTCAGCACGGGCACAGTGTTCTGCCTGGGGGGGGAGGGACACGCGATTCAGACCAGCAGGGACCACCAGCCTCCCCCTGCAATCAGGTCACCCACGTCTGTATTAAATCCTTCGAGATTTTTATTTGGGGGACTGGGGGGGGGGGTGTTTAAGCGTGCTGTTCTGGTCGTTGGTTGCGTATCTGGAATGTGTGACTTTTTATTTTTCACCGAGTCAAGAGGATTTAAATGTCATTTACATAATTAACATGGCCTTAAAACAGAGAAAAGGTGCTCTCCCTTGCAGACAGCCAGAGCTCCCAGTTCCCATTCCCGTTTCTGAATGAGCTGTCACTGCACACAGGGACATTTGCTGACTGGCGATGAGCACAACACGGGGGGTACGTCTGGGGCTATTTCTGCAATTAGAACATATTGGTGAATTTTTCAGTCCAGCATTGATCCTGTACGCTTAATTATTTCTGCTGATCATGACTCTGAGCCGTCCTGTCTTCACCATCACCATGACACGCTATTGAAGGATGCCAGCACGAATGTAAAACTGGCCAGAGGAGATGACTCACTTGAGGGGTTTTGTGGGGTTTTTATATCCAAAGGTCAGAAGCCAGAAATTAAATCCCAGTAAGGGGAATTTGTTAGCCTGCTGTGACCAATCTGAAATGGAGGTTATCTTGCGTAAATAATATGTGCATATATATATGCGTGTAAGATGGCCATTGCTTGTGACCACGTGAACTGCACTGTCTTTGTTTTATGTTTTGTGCGCTCTAATTAAAATGCTTTGTAAACTGACTGGCGAAGTTTGATCAGTGCAGAAAAGGCACCAGCAGCCACGGCCTCTCTTGGCTCCACCAGCACACTATTATTTAACCAGCATCCCCAGCGTCACTTTGCCCAGAGCCAGAGCTGCGCGAGCAGCAGCGAACAGCCAAAATATGCCGGGAGTTTTAAAGACGGAGAGGCAAGAGCACTGCGGGACTGGGGCTGGAAACTTTTTGTGCAGCTGGAGTTGTGACATGGGGAAGTTTCTGCAGGGACCTTGTGTCTCTGAGCATCCACATGGTGCTGTGGGCCCATCACCGCTGAGCTACGGGCACAGGGCAGCTGCTACAGCCGCTCGGCAGCGACCGGGCGGTGGGTGTTGTGCTGATGGGACCCAGCACACATCACAAAAATGCAAAGGCTTGCAATAGTATTCACATTTTTTGTTCACCGACTGAAAAGCCCCATTTCCGAACTTCTTAGTAAGACAAGGGCTTTTTTGTTTTTTTTTCCCTGCATAAGTTAGAGCTTACCAGCTTTCCAGTGGGCAACTAAATTTTACTTTTTTGATTATTTTTTCTTATTAAGCTTAAATAGAAATATATTCAGTTTTTAAGTATGTAACAGATCCGTATGGAGGGAGGGAAGCCCACTCCATGACCCATGCTTCCCCAGCAGACGAGGCCCAGTGTGCAGGAGCAGCTGATCCCATCTTGTGTCCTCGCAGCGATTACCCCTTTCCCTCTGCTCCTGCAGTGCTGCTCCCCAGTCCCACCTCTGCTTGAAAGGGGATGTATTGCAACACATTTTTAACCTTTTTTCCCTTAGAAGACTTTCTCTGTAGCTGCACTGTTGCACTTCACTGTGTCCCTGGAGCTGCCTGCAGAGCTGATATTAATTAATCATTTTTGCACCTCATCATTACAGATTTAAGTCTCCCTTCTAGTCACCTGCTTCCAGTAAGTAGCTTCCCAGTACCTTCAATATTGTTTGGAGCAAAGGGTCCACCCCAGCAAGGGAGAACAAGCTCAGCTGCAGAGACTTGGCTTGAGCAGTGGGTGGTGTGTGAAATCCTGGGTTTAAAAGCAGGAAAAAAAAGCACACCTGTGTGGGTAGGCATGCAGTTTTAGCTGAATTCTGTTCCCTGGCATAAAGTAGCCTGGGGACAGCCCTGTGCAGTCTAATGTGAGGGGCCTGTTAACCAGTTATGGAAATATTTCCTTTGGGCAAGGAAGCAGCGCGCTACCCTGGGAGGAGTTGTGAGGTTTTGGTTTTGTTTTTTTTTTTTAAAGCAGGGAGGAGAAACTGTGATAATGTTAAACCCAGCTCCTCCGACCAATGCACCCAGGAGTGCTACCTGGATTTTTGCCTGTTCTTTAGGCAGCGGCGGGCCCGGTGCCTCAGCGCTGGCTGTGCCAGGAGGAGCTGCCGGCTCCACGAAGCCATCGGAGCTTTTCTTTTCCCTGTTCCTCACTGGTGCTGGTCCTTAGCCCTCTCGATCGATGCGGGGAGAGGCGGCAGCGGAGGCCAGGCTCCCTGCCCTGTGGAAGAATGTAGCATTTTTCTTGGCTTCAGGAAATAAGTGTGTGCCAAGGTGAGTATTGACTTTGTGTGGAAAACATACGTATCATGGATGAATAAATCTTTATGCTTGCTTGCAGCGAAGCAGTAGCTGCAGCTCTCAGGGAAGTGCATTGATTTCTCCCGTCCCCCTCCAGCTCACAGCTCTCTGGTCAAAATTTGCCAGGCAGAAACGCACTAAATGTCACCGTTGGCTTCTCTCTGCTGCCCTTTCTATTTCAGGATCCCACTAATGACCTTATATACAGCAAAGAGCCCAGCGGTGATGCTCATCCCTCCCATGAAGCTCACGCGAGCTGCGAGAGTCACAGGCAAAGCACCGGCCGGGGAGCTGAAGGGTCCGTGGCTACAGGGAAGGGCTGATTTATTTTAAAAGACACCCATACCACAGTATGGTGAGCGGCAATCCCATGGTCATTAGCGAGCCGGTTCGTTTAGTTTAGTGTGCAGTCAGTGGGCTGCTCCAGTGCGGAGGGCTTACACCCACACACCTCCCCAGCTGTTGTGGTCCTCTGGGTGTAAGCATCTTCCATGGCAAATCCTGGCAATGTCACCTCCTGTCCCCCCCCCGTCCACCTGCACCCCACTAATTCTGGCTCCCCAGCAATGGGCAGAAACCCGTGTGTGCCGGTGGCACCGTCCACCGCACCGTATCGGCACAATCCACCTGCTGAGAGTCGAAGCGCCTGTCCCCGTCCGTTGCCCTGTACCCGTACTTCTTTTCTGAGCAGCAGCAAAGCTGCGTGGTCTTCCGACATCATTAAAATCTCATGGTTTAATAACCACAATTTGGAAAGGCATCAAGGGGAGTAAATTAGCTGCTTCCGAAGTTTGTGTCGGTGAAATGGTTTCACGCTGCTTGCGCTGTCAGCGCAAGCATTAAGGATGTTTAACAGAAAGCACCAGGTCCCTACCCTACTTTGGGGTTTGCTGTGCCGGCAAGTTGTCTGGCCTCTCTTTGTGGCTGAGGCTGGGGGTGCTGACGGTACACGCCGCAGCTGTGGCACCCCTCTCCAGTTTGACTTCTGTGTCCTTTAAAGTTGTAGCACCAGGGCACTTGATTTTTTTTTTTTTTTTTTCTTTTTTTTTTGAGAGCGCGAGCTGGATGTAATGTTAAAAGGGTAATATGAAACACTTTAAATGTGATAACTTCTCGTTCGTATTGTTTGAAGAGATAAGAGTCAAAGCCCTACTAAGCATGCTTTTGAATTTACTTATCAGTGTTTAAGCAGGCTTTTCTCCCTGCCATCCCCCCCCACCTGGGCAGTGTGATACACGGGGAGAACCTGGGCCGGCAGCGTCAGCTTATGAGGCCCCCGTTTCATCTGCTGACCTTGCTGGTAAGGGCAGCGCTTTATTCCTGGCGTGAAAATGGTCCCTCGCCTGGATTTGAATACGCTGCAGGAGAAAAGTGCAGCCCCTGTAATCCCCCAGTAACAACCCATCAGAGCCACCGCCCGGAGAGGCTCCGGCGGCGACGTGCCCGTGTCCGGCAGCGGGGCAGCCGGTGGCTCCGTCCTCGCACGCCGCTGCGGTGGTAGGCACCTTGCACGGCTCCGGACACCGGCAGCCCCCCCCAGCGTGCCCGAAGGACGGTTGCTCGACCGGGGAGGGGGCTGGACCGTGCATTATAGCCCGGCACCCCCAGTCTGGGCGAACTGGGGCAGGCGCTGCTGACCCAGTTCCTGCCCCGTTCCCACTGGGAGCGGGTGGCCCAGCGGCAGCCCCGGCAGGTTCCGAGCGGTTGCGTCTGATCTTGCGGGGCTGTGGCGTGGTCAGAAGCTTTGAGCGCTGGTTAATAAGGGCACAGATAACCAGGATGATTTCCACTAAGTTTTCCTAATGCTGCCAATTAACAGCAAGTGAGATATTTTTTCCCCCCAATAGAATATTAATTCTTTATCAATTCATGATACAGCTGCTAATTAGTACCTACACAAATGGGCATTAGACCTTTGCAAAACATTGCACAGCAACCAGAAGGTGTATTGGGGAATTATGTGTGCGATGGGGGGACAGAGGGGTTGTGTTAATCCCCCCCCAACCCCAACAGCAAAGAATTTCAACTTTCAGACAAACAACTTCATTTACAAGTGTGTCTCTAATTAGCTGCAGAATTAGTAAAGCAGAGTTTTCCCCCCATAGATCGGCCAAACCCCTGAGGGAGGCTGTGGAATAGAGAGAATCGCATTTCCAATTATTTTGTTGAATTGCTAATTTAGTTATTGTGCCTGGCGTAATTGTGATGGGTATTGGGTGTGCAATTCAATTTGTTTTAAATATTTGTGGGAAGGCTGATCAGTAATGGAGCTGACCTATTTCATGGCCCAAATTGAGAGAAGAGACTAAAACAAAAAACAGCTACAAAGCCACAGTTTGTCTCAGTTTTTATTTTGATGTCTCTCATCCCTCTTAAGACTGTTGATGCAACAAAAGGTTTACATTAAAAGATGATGGCACTTTGATCTTGGGCTTTTGAGAGCTTACAGCTTTGGTACTTCTTTTCTTGGCATTTTAATATGTAGATATTTTAGGCTAAAGAGTTTTAAATGTGTTTCTGGAGTTCAGTAGGGTCTGCTCCCCTCACCCCCCCCCCCCCCATTTTTAACTATCAGGATTCTGGTTTGAGAAATGCATGAAAAATAACTGCTGGAGTTGTGTTTGCTAACATGGTCCCATTTAACATGTCACATTAATACCCACCTTTAATGTGGGGAACTTCTGAAAGGTGTTTGTGTTCACCGAGCTGCCGGGTTGGCAGGGGACACCCTTCAACCAAAGGTCCTGGCAGTTCCTTTCCAGTGGGCTCCTACTGAGCGGGTCCCTGCCTGCTGGGGCTAGGCTTTTCCTTTCTGGGTTTTTTTTTTTTTTCAGTCACTGTAATGTTAAAGACAAATCTGTGGAGGAGGAACAGGACCTGCTAATGGCTCGCTGGGATGGTGGCTCTGGACTGGGAGTTACGGCCGGAGCGCTGGGCAGAGACCAGAGCCAGTGGTGGGATGAGGAGCTGCTCCTTCTGCCCCAGCACCCGCGGCTCCAGCACGGTTCAGCGCCGGCTGGCCAGCTCCTCCTGCTGCTGAGGATGCAAAGGGGACATGATGAAGCTTGGAGAAAGGTAAATACTCGTGCCCAATTTGTGTGAGTACTGCTTTTCTCTGGCTGGCTGAGGTGTCAGGATGGGCTTTGGCCCGTGGGGTCACATCTCAGAAGGTTTATTTCAAACATCTGCAGAGTCTGACCACGGGCAGGAACAAGAGCAGCAACAGGGGCCTGGCGAGAGGCAATGTTCTGTGGTGAGCCTGAGCAGCTCAGGCGAGGGGCACGGCCGAGACCATGAGGTACTTCGGCTCCATCCTCCCGGCATCGGCAGCCACCAGACCTTGTTCGAGAGGTGCCGCATAGAACTCTTCGTTCTTGCCTTAAGGAAAAGCAGAGCTCCCCAAGGGGTGCTCGGGACGAGGGGTGACAGATTTCCACTCCCGGCAACAGAGATGTAATTCATTCTTTTTATTAAAAGAAATTGAGGTAAGTGAAATACTTCAGCACCAGCGAGAACCGTACGTACCGAAGGTGGTTTCCCCGCCACCCCTGCCCCGCTGGGTAACCGACTCACACGCCTGCGGCACCGGCACTGCGGTCACAGCCGGGGCTGGGGGAGAACGGCCAGGACGTCGGCCGGTGACGCTGCGGTGACCTGGGGCTCCCAGGGCTAGTGCTGGAATTTGACTTCGGACCAGCTCCAATGTTACCTAATGGCTGGTTTTTTGGAGCTACTTTACCCCCAAATTAAGTGGAACCTGACCCAGTGCCTGTAACACTGAAACACAGGGGTCTGCTCTTGCCCAGCAGGCAAGAGACTTTGGCAGCAATGGCTCCCACCCCAAGCGGAAGGAACGGAGCGGTGGGCACCAGGACACTTCCCGTAACACCTGCAGACGTCCTGGATAAGGGACTGACTTGTGACACTACCACGTAGGAAATCCCGGTGACAGCGGAGGAGGAGCCCAACGAGTCGCCTGTGCCGTGATGCCCCCCGAGCGGTCCTGCCTGGCTGAGACATTCTCTGTCTGTCCTGTGTGTCCTGCTGCAGCCCGCCTTGGCGTAAGTAAAAGCATCTTTGGGGGTTGTTCAGGGGGTCTAGTGGGAAAAAAAGTCTTTTAAATCAAATTAGGGTTCTTAACTATTAAGAAAAAGCTAGTCCTTCAGATGACACAGCTCCGCTGGCCACGGGGCAGGGCTGCACTGCTGCTGCTCGTCCCCCCAGGGAGGAGAGCAGAGACCCTGGTGCTGCACCTCGATTTTACAGGAGCCCTGGCACCACACGCACCCGAGGGCTGCACTGCACTTCAGAAGGGAACAGTACAGGTGTGAGGCACTGGCATCATCATTAACTAATTCTCTCATAAAAACATCCCTTCTGGTTCATGCTATACTAAAAGCGGAACTGTAAAATCTGAAATACTTTTAAGACAATCATTGGTGTAAGCTCTCCACTACTACTTAGACCAAGTTCCATAACAGTATCCAAGTATTAGGGGCTGACCGTGCTTCCCTCCAGAGTTCCAACTTCTCTGATCTTTTATTATGGTCAGGAGCCCCATGAAAATAAAAGTGTGGAAATAAGCCAAGGACCGGGGCTGGGGTCAGCCTGCGGTGATCTGCGCTGCTGCCGCACCTCTGACCTGGGCAGCCTGGCTCAGTGCCGGTGCTGCACTTACCTGCCATAGAGACAATTATTCCCAACCAGATGCAAAGAATGACCATTGGAACGGGATTACCAAGAATAACTTTTCTTATATTTCTGTCTTCCCATGTGTATAATGGCAGTCCCTTCCCCAGCCGCGCAACAGGACCAGCCAAGCGCAGGCAGCTCCACTCGAGCCAGCTCCAGGGCAGAGGTGGGCGATGGAGAAAAACTTTGCTCAGATGCATTAGACCGAGATTTCCTTTCGCAGTTCTAACCATGTTGGTGTATTTGACTCTGTCCTTTCCCCTCCTTTACTCTGGCAGGCTGTAACTGCTTTCTGCTTCAATTACCTACCTGTATGAAAGGGATTAGCACTTACATGAAGTATATGCAACACTGGGACTGCCCGTGTCTGTTATCCCTCAAAATAAGTAGGGAAGGAAGAGCAGAAATGGCTGAGCAGCTGGGTGTTGGTCTCCTCTTTTACCTCCTCCTAAAGGGCCTTTTCACACAGTTTACTGACCTGTTCTAAAGGAACTGGGCACAAAGGCAAAGCGAGCGGGGATTTAGCCTCCAAAATCCTTCCCCACAGCCTGTCTGGGGCATGGGGACAGCCCTGGCCACACCGGCTTAAATGCTGTTTTTCCTCTACTACTAAGTAACAAGACAGACATTGGAAATACAAATCACTACTGGCTGACAGAGACAAGAGGGTTAACTCGGTGGTGGGCTCCACTCACCCACAGGACGCCAGGCGGGAGGACCTTGGGCTCCCACCCGCTCCTGGGAGGCAGAGCCCGTCCTCGGCTACAGCAATGCTCTCGCAGGGGGTAACATTGGCACTTGTCAGCACAAAGCCGCCGCTACCAGGCGGGATGTGAAAAGAGAAGCAGGCAGGGGCGCAGGGGTGTCATTTAAACGAGCCCCTGCTTTGCTATGCCAAGACCTCACGGTACCGGAGCACCCTTCATTGCCTGGCTGTAGCGCTTTCGGGTAGCAGCCGAACAGCGAACTGATGCATTGGTCCAGTCACGCTTTGTTAAATAAATAAGGTACAGTTAGACAGCTGTAACTCAATTCCGCAGGCGCTTGTGTTTATACATTTTCCTCATGTCTCTGGCCAAAGAACACACTTCCTCTGGTCAGTCTGATTTGAAAAAATAAAAATGTCACTCTTCCAGCGTTTCCCTGAGCCTCCCCGTCTCGGTACAGTGGTCTCAGTCGAGCAGACAAAGGGCAATTCTGAGCTTTTTTTTTCCCCTCCACTGTACCAGGCAGGGGGGAGTGTGGGAAATCGATGCTCTTACGTTGAAGAAGGCGAGTCCATTGTGGAGAGGATCCGCACGATCTCGGCTCGCTGGGTGGGTGATATATGCTGGGTCATGTGCACTATCGAATCCATGGCAACCTCCGGATTGGCCTGGACCAGGCTGGAAAGAGGCGAGAGTTAAGTGATGGCAGCCCTGGCACTCACACCAGAGCGCGTCCGACAGCTCCCCGTCAGGCCCGGGGGGGAGGACTGAAATATGGGGTCTGTAAGAGAGACTGGACGAGGCAGCAGGCACTTGTGTGAGCTGACTGCGAGCAGCGCAAGAGCTGTGCTCGCTTGGAGGTCCTTCGTGCCACTTAATTTGCTGGTGGCAGACCTGCTCAGACATGCACGGAGGCTGAAATCCTGAGACGCCGGACCGTGTGGACCCAGAGCGGACATGGGGAGGCCGGGAGCTCTGGAACGTGCCCTGATCCCACCAGCAGCACCTTCAGAGGCTGCCGAGAGCACCCACGTCTCCCCTCCCAGATGATGCAGAGCCCTGTCTGCTGTAGCACGGATAGAGAAACTGGTGGAAATGACAGGAAGAGATGCCCTATGGAGTTAGACACGGAAAGAACAGGAGCTTCACTCCACAGTTTGGTGCCCTCCCCCCAGCTCTCTCAGAGGCAAAGCTGCTTTAAGAGACCTCCAGTGTAAGACATAAAAATTATCAAAATTAGATCTGTTCAAGTCTAGCAAAGCGTTTGGCTCACGAGGCTTAACTGGCTCCGCTGGATGAATGTCTGTGCGAATGCGCACAATAACTCTTACAAGCAGGAGGAACAGATACTCTACCAATGTGGGGGTTTATTTGGTGTAGTTTGAAACGGCAACTGAAGGGAATTGGACATTTTATGACATTGAGCACAGAAGAAACTAGGGAGCTTGCCTGGAAAGTCTGGGGCTAGAAAAAATAAAGAGAAGGAAGCTGTAAGGCTATTCTGGCCATGTGTGGTCAACACACTGCTTTGACAGTAGTAGCCCAGCTCAGAGATGTGCTTTCTCTCCTTGCCTCACATGGTATGCAGCCCTCTAAAATAATTTTCCATTATCTGCCTCAAATGGAGAAAAGACACATTAGCAGTGAAATTTCTGTGCCCTGGCTCTTCACAGCTCCTGTTTCAGTAAAGGGCAGGCATGGCCAGGGAGGTTTGGATACTGCTGGATTAGATCTCTGCTCTGCTGCTTTCTGATTTTGCTCAAGGCACCTGCATGTACAGTAGCACTACAGCCTGTGCAGGAGGAACAGGAGAGTAGACTTTGTACAAATCCCTCTGTTGCACAGTAGCTCCACATTTGGCCCTGTGTTTGCATTTCCAAAGGAAACTGCATTTCCACATACTCCTTATGTATTTGCCACACAAAAAAGGCCAGCGAATCCATTTTCCTCAGCTGGGGAAGCGCACATGGCCGAGATCAGAAGCTGAACTTTTAAAAATCCCTGTTCTGCAGGGGCAGAGTGTGTGTAGTTTGCTTACCTCCGTATCTGTTTGAGGATGTAGTCCCTCGAGATGTATTTGATGTTTTCATCCACAACCGAGCGAACGCCTTCTTCTTCCGTCAGCTGTTTTTCCAGCCACTCCACCAGGTCCTTATTACTGTCCCATAAGTATGCCTGTGAACAAAACACACGTGTCACCCGGTGTCCCAGTGCTGTGCCACCAACACTGCTAGCAAGCTCCCGCTCCCCACGCACCATTCCCAAAATTTAACTCACAATTATTGGCAGCCTTGGGTAAAACATTTGGCTGGCAGCCTTCTCTGGTTTTCCCAGTGTGCGTGGCTTTTATAAACACAACTAACAATTAGCAGAAGTCAAAAGATGGTATATTGCTTTTGCATCTCCTTCCATAAACATGACTAAAGGGGAACCACAGAAGCAGCAGTGCTGCCAGTGGCTGCAGCTGAACGAGCTGCATCAGCCCCAGAAGCTGTCCCAGCTAAAATGCCAGCTTCCTTCTGTGATCAGATGCCCAACTTCTGGTAAAATACGACTGACCCGGAGGTGAGGGCAGGGGCGGCCAGAGGCGCGGCTGATCTGGGTCTTCTCCCAGTACTAAGCTGTCATGGGACCCACGAGTCCCCATCACCTAAAGACTGGCCTGGTGTTAGTGTCCCCCAACAATCATGGGATCCCCGATCCAGCCCAGAAACCAAACAGCCCCTTCAGCAGGTGTGAGCACTGCAGAGGAGGTCGGGATGCCCACATCCCTGAAAAGCCTTGGCAACAACCCCCTTTTTTTCTTTTGCAAGATCATTTCACCTGATATTTGCTAGGTAGTTGACTACATAATAATTCAGGAGTGTGTTAGACGCCTAATAGCCTTCTTGCTCCTCTCTTCTCCTCTCATTTTCTTTACAAATCATTTAAGAATCGTTTTGTTAATGGTTTCCGGAAAAGCAAGTACCGCCATTAGCACTCATTCATATTTATGTCATTTTATTTGGGTAATTAAACACAAAGCTCGTCATTTAAAGGTGCACTATCCTTCTCTGTTATCACTAACGAAGTCAAAGTCAGAATGACAATGAGCTCGGTGCAGTAATGCGCCATGGGGCCAAGCGGGCACCCTCCCAGCATGGGCGCAGACCCCGGGGAGCTGCAGGGAGCAGAGCAACCACTGCTCCAACCAGCAACCTTAAACACCTTTGATCCTCCTGCTGCCTCTGTGGCCTGACCGGGAGCAGGATGATTTCAGGGGCTAGCGGGGGAGCGGGAGGCAGAAGCACACGATGGATGTTTGCACCCGAAGGCGAAGCTTCGGTGCCGGGGGGGCAGCATGGAAAGGCCCTGGAAACCGTTGGAGCAGTAGCAGCGAAGCCAGCAGAATACTTCTCCTACCAGGACTCTGCTTCACTGCATGCAATGCGTTCCTCCAGCCGGCCACGCCGTCTGAAGCATCGTCTCACCTCTCCTGCTCTCCCGACAGAGCGATGCCAGCACCTCGACAGCTGCCAGCCCATTACAAGCCTTCACAAAGCTGATTTTCCACCATCCTTGCCAATACCAGAGAGGAGCGCAAAGGCAGCACTCACACTGATGAGCCTCCACACTGCTCATCCTTTGTTTATATATTTAATTATCAACTTTCAAAGTCCAAGAAATGGTTTCCCTCTTCCCTGGGACTCTCACGAGCAGCACACCTTCCCCATGTTGATGAAGGTGTTGTTACACCCATAGGTGAGAGCCGGCACTGCTGTAAGGAAGCCCGAAGTGCAGACCCTATTCCAGCCCCCAGCGTTCGTCCTGCCTGTGCACTTTAATAAGAAACTGGGATTTATTTTTTTTTATTTATGTATATGATTGTCTTAAAATCAGTGATGTCATTTCAACCTCAAGATTTTGCTTATTTCATTGTTTTTTCTTATTATTATTTTAAACTCGTTAGGTTTTGCTCCTTGCTTCTGCCCCTAGACATGACAGAAATGCTCCCTGCATACAAAGTAGGGCACGCACTTAGGAAGATTTCAGGGAAGGGAAAAAAAAAACCCCAAGAAGCTGCCTTACGGTTGCAGACCTGCGTAAAGCTAGATTTACCCAAGAATCCCAAAGCTTTTAGTTTAGGAGAATATTTAATACTCTTATTAATCATTTTTAATCCGTTTGCTTTTAATTAAGAAACAGCATGATGCTTTCCTATCAACATATGCCAGGGAGCAGATTAATTGTGGCTTAAGATAACTCTCCTTGATTGGTGTAATGTATTAGCTAACGAGATGCCCGCTTTTAAAGACGCTCAGACACTACCTTGGAAAGCCTGCTGCCCTCCAGAGAACACATTCCCCCCTTTTCTGGAACCCCTGAGTGTTTGTGACTTTAAAAATAGAATAAAATAAAATAAAATAAAATAAAATAAATAAAATAAACCCTCAGATTGGAGGACTGTGACAAAAACAACCTAAGAGCAGGTCCAGAGACTGCTCTTCAGAGATTGCCAGCTTCCCAGTTTGAGCACAATTAAAAAAGAAATCCTCAACACAGCTATGAGATGAGGACTGCGGATGAGGCCAAGGCGACCCCCAACCCCAAGCCCTGCCACTTAGATCTTACAGCTGATCCGTGTCCCTGCCTTTGATGGTATGCCAATCCGTCTGGCGTTAAACCAGGGGACGTGGGACAACCCCAGGGGACGTGGGACACTTGGTGGAAGAACAGCAGGGGCTCCCCTGGGCTGAGACATGGCAATGGTGACGGACCACCAGGCACCGTGATCTGTCCCCACCATCAATAAGTTCCTGGCCTGGGGAAAGGGAAGGAAGGCGAGGGCATCCCAGGGGAAAGGCGGACAGTATCGCCGTGGTCAGCTCTGCAAGCAGCAGGACAGGCAGGTAAGATAGGCTGGCTGTACGTCGGCCAGTCAAAACATCTAGCAGTGAATCTCCATACCCTTCTCAGTGTCAGTGAGATAGAGCAGGATTGAGGATATTATTCAGTAAGAAAGAATAATTAAAAATAAAATAAAACCCATGCTTTCACATCACAGAGGATCCCAAGGGTACGCAGGGAGCAGTCTGCACAGCTAGGACAGCTCCTCCATAACAGCCTCTGTAACTGCGAGCAGCTCCGCAGTGCTATTTTAGGGATGCTGTGCACAGAAGCAAGGAGATGGAGATATTCAGGGCTGGTATATAGAGCATGTGTTGTGACTCTTGGGACTTCTGCTGCCAGTTCTGCCAGACAGCAGCACCTCTGCGCAGCCTTCTTCCCACACGCTGCCCTGTCTCGCTCTGCTGAGCGAGCTGTTCATCTTTGTAAGATGCTCAGATTTTCGTATCAATGGTGCTACGTGCTTGGGAAAAACCTATTTTGCTTTTCTAGCCTGCTATAAAAAGTGTCCCCATAAAACAATTCATGACTTGGAACATTACCCAGAAGTTTTCTTTCATCACCTAAAATGTTTGTGGACATTACAATCGAAAACCAGAGATCAAACTCCACCTCGGAGAACTTCACTGAACTTAAGCCCAGGAAAGACTAATGCTTTGGTGAAACTGCTTTTCCATTTACCTTCACTGTCCCTTCAACTTCCACAAACCAGCGTCTCAGCATAGCCTGGATCTGCCCATCAGTCAGCTCAGGATTGGCATCATGGATCTTCTTTTTAACCACATCCTCTAGAAGAAGACGTCTTAATCTCCAGTAGAAGAAGGTACGGGAAGTTTTCCAGTCTAGAGTGTCCTGCCCAAGACATAAGTGGAGAAGGACAAATCAGTGAGGGACAACATTTCCATGGAGAAATATATATGCCTTACTCCCAATGGCAAAAAAAGGCTGGCACTCATGATATACTTAGTTATACCGCTTGCACAAGAGAAATACAAAGACTCCCACGGCTGAGCTTTGAAGACTTCCACCCTGTCATACCATTCGGTCACCAGAAGCTACATCCAGCCTCTTTCGTCTACCAGAAGTCTGCTCCCTTCTGCAAAAAGAGACAGAGCTTCCCGGGTGAGCAGCGCTGCCCAAGACACTCACATCCAAGGGGAGAGGGAACTAGGAAAATCTAATCAGCCAGGGTTCTAATCCTGACACGAGAGCTGGCCTTCAGCTGTGCCATCACAGCCCTTCCCATCACTGAGGGTCCCCACGGGTACAGGCTCACCACCTTCCCTGCCCTCCCTTTCTGCCAGGGCAGGCTGCAGCGTGCTCTGTGGGGTTTTGGATGTGGTCGCTAACGAGCTACCAGCGAAGCCCAGGAAATGTGGGGTCTCAAATGGACACGGATCAGGTAAAGGTGCTAGAAAACATGATGTACTTGTGTTCTGGGACCAGAAAACAGCTGGCGGGTGGAGAGGGTTTGCTCCTGTGGCAAGAGTCATTGGGGCAGAGGTTTATTTGCAGGCCCACAGGCTGCCTCCAGACTGGAGACTGCCATTTCCCATGTGTCAAACCCTCCAACGATGTCCCCAAGGGAAGCTCCGTGATACTTACAGTTATGACACCCTTCTCTTGCATCCGGCCAGGTGTGTCGTGCAAGTCAGCAAACTGCATGGCTACCTCGTGATAAATGGGAATCAGGAATTCCTCCCGCTCCTTTAGCTTGGCCTCCAGATCTTTTCGGTCAGCAGCGCTCAGCTCAGGGGTACCTGCAACCAGGCACGGCCACACGTCAGAGACCTTTGACAGGTTAAAGCAGAGGGGTGTACAAAGCACTGCTGCTCGGAGGAAAGGCAAGCAGCTCTGGACAGTTCAGAGGGGGAGAACGGAGGTTTCTTCTTTTCCTGCGTACAGGTGAAACCCAGACTGCATTTGGCCAGGACAAACACCAGACCATCAGCTCCCAGCAACGCCAAGCAGAGTCTTGAGTCAAATCTAAGTGTTCCGGCCCAGATTTCCTGCCACCGATATTCAGGCGAGAGCTTTGAAGGAGTTTTCACCATGGAAACTCTATTCCATTTAAATGCCAATGAGCTGAGCCATCAATTAAGTGACATTTACTGGACTTACTCCTAAAAAAGAATAATGTCCCAACACGCAGTTCATTTAGCAAGAAACACGGACAATGTAAAACCACCTACACAATTTCAAGTTTTCCTGCAGGCTGGTTCCTACCAGTAGCTGTTAGAGCCACTGCCTCATTAAGGAAAACACAAGTTACGCTAGAGATGCCAAAACCACTCATATTCAGTTTACCAGGGATCGGAACACAATAGTCTTAATCACAGACTAACATGATGGACAAGAATAAAACCGTGTCAAGAAGATATTGTCCTCTGGAGTTCATAATTTTTAATTTATTTTAAATCATTCAGCTCAGCTAAAATTAACTTTGATTAAAACAAAAACGTGCATTAAACAGTTTCCGATTAATTTCGGAATTACCTGACCCGGACTAAGTCAGGCACAGGGAAACATATCATGCTGTGGAGGCACATCACAGCTCCTGCCACTTCCCACAGCCGAACAAGGTGCCCCTTCCCACAGCCGCCCCTTTATCAAACCAAGAATGTAAATCCCCTCTTCTCCCTGTAACAGGCCACGGGTAGCATAACCATAAGTGCAATTCTTTGCTGAACCTGCAGTAATTTACACCAGGTCAAAGTTGGCCCAGGAGTAGGTTGATGCTTCTCCTACGCTGCCTCACCAACACACGTGCAAGAGGTCCTTGTGCAGAGGCAGAGTATTTAGAGCCAATCTTAGTTCAATTTAAGCAAAGATTGCAATCTGAGTCAAATTATATGGTACTGGATACTCTGCTGAATTGTGCCATTTTTTAACCTCCCACCCACACCAGAAGCTCTGGTTGCAAGTTCACGGCCTCAGACACAGCTGCCTCCCATCCCACCTCCCCTTTTAAAGCCAAGGTCGCTGGCAATCTGAAGCCGGGTCATGGACAAGTCTTGCTCCAAGCACTGGTGGGTTGTAACATTCAACTGTCCTACGGCACCTTCCATTCAAATGTTAATATAACCGCCCATGTGCCTGGGAGACATGCAAGCATGACTGCGCCTTCAGTGTACAGAACTGAGATATAAAACAAAGAGGTGTCCTACCCAGTAGCACAAGAAGTCAATGGGAGAACCTGGAACAAAAGCTGATGCCGTGATTCAGCCGGAGGACAATGTTCCTGTCCTAGTTATCTTGTAGCCCAAGTACCATGACTGCATTTTGTGGTGTGTGACCACCACCGAGCTTTTTTTTTTTTTTTTTAATCTTTATTGTTGGAGAAGGATTGTCAATGGGATTAAATGCAACATCTACCATTACATCTACACTTATTGTTAAACTGCCACACTTCTAGGCTGGGTGACGTGGAAGGCAATCGCTGGGGAGAGGCAGGAGGGCAGCTGAGCAATGGGGGTCCTCAGCAGCTCCCTCCACGGCCACTGTCCGGTCTGACAACAGCAGGCTCTGGAATCGCAGCAAGAAGCCAGAGCAATCCAAGTCCCACCCAGCAAGACCAGATAAATTAGGGGGCAGAAGCTTTACAAAAACCCCACCACGGAACACTTTCACACAGCGCAAAATCAAACGGTGGAACTCACTGCCAGCAGAGGTCCTGGGTGCCAAAAGTACAAATGGGCTCACAGAAAGCGATCAGACAAATTCATGCAAGGGAAGTTCATCACAGGCTTCTAAGCATGAAGATCGGATATTGATCTGTTCTCAGGAAACCTCTAAACCACAGGACTGCTGGAAGCTGAGACAGCATCCTGGGGAAAGCATCACGCTGCATTTACACGATGCTCCTACTCTTTCTGTGAGCACCCACGGCTGACCTCCCGCAGACACGATGATCCAGGGCTGCCAGACTGAAGGGCTGAGCACCCCAGTGGCTCTCCCCAGTGGGTGCATCACCACAGCAGCTCATGCACAGCACCGTGACACTGGGGCTTTGGCTCAGACCCACCTTTAGGGGCCCACTGCATCCTGGCCCTGTTCTTTTCTACTTTGCACTACCTATGTTTTCATTTCCTTCCAGAGTTTCTCTTCCAAGTCAGAACGGGTTTGAACACACACACACGCAGGCACACCTCCAAGCCACAGGCCAGCCATACAATGATTCTTTCTAGGGAAGGAATGTTTTTTATATGCCTAACAATATAAATGTTATCTAACCTTTCAAATGCTAGTAAGAAGGTTTTAATTAAGAGAAGCTACTCTTATAACCTTCAGAATAAAAAATTATATATATTTATCCATGTTAAATTCACAGGCTCCTACACCTCCCTGTTTTAAATGGCAATGCATGCACTTAAGCCAGTAACGCTCATGTATTCTGGCCTATCTGCCACACTCACGGTGTACAGTCAAACCAGCCAGGCCCAGTAATGATTTAGGTGAGATTAACAAATATGTCAATGTCTATTTTCTGCTTAATTTAAAAGCAGCGTCTATAAAGATTTTTGACTTCTGAACCCTGTTCTCCTGGAAGAAAGAAGGTAACAATGAGGAGGGGGGATAAAGAGTGATTATCCCATCATCGATCGTTTGTCAGGAGCATTTCTTATTCACTGGACTATTGTAAAAAGCTAAGCTCTCGATCAATCCTGTAAGCCCCCTGTACAATTAAATATCTTGGAATGGTTTTCTTTCTTTCCTAGTCAGATCTTGAGGCCTCAGGGTTTTTCGGAAAGCTGGGGCTTTATTTATTTATTTCTCGGAAAAAGAAGTCTCCTTCCACAAATCTTATACTGGCAAGGAGAGGGGAGTTAAAATATGGGATTCCTTTGCTCTAAAGGTACTTGACAGTTAATGAAACTGTTAAAGTTTAAATCATAGGAACATTATAGACCTCTAGGTATGGATCGGCTACTAATCAATAGAGAAACAAAAGAAGCAGCACTCTGAAATGGCCACGTTACAATGCAAACACAAAGTGTAGCGGGTTTTGGCATGCAGGTGGAGCACGCAGGTAAGACAAGATGACAATTTAAAAGGAAGAAAGAACATGTGTGACCTTCCTAACTTGGCAAGCAGCACAGGACACTTTCTAAGGCAGCACTCTTAAGTGCCATAAAATGTCACATTTATCTTGGATTGCAGTTTGCTCTGCAGTCTCCACGTACGCTTGTATCTATATATAGTGCTGGTATGATCACAGCCATTGGCATGATCGGAAGAGGCCAGGTAAATGTCTTAATTCTGCTCTCAACGCCGTTGAAGCCCACCCACAGTGGTAAATGCACCAAGACAGCTTTGTTCTACGGTGTCTTTTCTTTTGGGTTTGTTTTTTTTTTTGAACAATAGCAAAACTGCCTTAAACAAGTTGAAAAAATGCCCTGGGGAAGCAGTAACACTGGGGTACCAAAAAGATTAGAGAGTCTCTTCTGATGTCAAAAGAGCAGTGGCCAGGGTCTTGCCAAAGCCCTCTGCACAAACATACCCAGTTAAACCAACAACACCTAGTTTAAAACCACACGTAAGAAGTATTTAATCAAAAATGTTCCCAAATGCTTCCTGGAGGAAGCTGGCAGCTCATGCCTCCCCCATTTCCCCACCCTGGCCTGTGCCGTCTCTCCGTGGGGTGACACCAGGCTTCCCATCCAGCTGCTACAGCCTAGCTTTTGGGGTTACAAACTCTTTTTTCCGTGGCCTACAGCCCCTAACGGGCCCCCAGACCTCAGGTAGGGGCTCTCAGTACCCCACTGGCACAGCACAATAAATGCCAAATACTACGGTTGCCAAAACAAGCCCTTCAACCACCCTGCAGAGAAGCAGCCTTCCCAGCCACTGCAGCAGGGACATGCACGCACGCTTTGCCGCCCGCGATCGTGGAGGAAGGAAGGCTGCAGAGGAGTTGCCCTCCCCGTGCAGACAAATGGAAAAGCTGCCTCAATAAATCCACGCAGAGACCTCTCCTGTAAAGCGCTCTGATACTGAATATCAATTTACACTCCTCTCCAAAAGTTAAGGGAAAGCATCATGGCAGGGAAAGCACATCTAAACTATTTTGATTTGTGCCCCATTAAACAAAAAATCTCCTCTGAAGTAAGCGGCGTCTCCGAGCATCCCTCCGATGTATGTGCCTGGCAGAGGGAGCCATCGACAGCACCGTGTCCTGCAGTGACTGCAGCCTGCTGCGGTGGCAGGGCGCGGGCTGCCTTTAATAAAGTTCCTGCCAGATGGAAATGGCTCAGCAGGACCATGAATCACGGCTTCCCATAACATTTAGTAGCAAAGTGCTTTTTTTAAATATGACCAGTTTAACAGGTTAGACAAAATGACTTCAAGAAATGTTATTGTAGGTTCCCCCTGATTGCGGAAAGCCAGGCAGCTTCTGAATCAATTTGATGGTTTATGGTTTCTAAGCTGTTAAAATGTGGGATTTTCTCCCTCACCCTCGGCGCACGGTCTCAGCATGGCCAAGCATTTACTTGTCCATCTTCTTGCCTCTTCCTCAAACATGCACTCAAAGACCTGGGCAAAGCCCAACATCAAGGCCTCTGACCCAACCGATCTGCGGAGACGGCTCTCATGCTTACTTCTCAGGCTCTGCACACAGAGAGTTGGGCAAAGCAGACGGCTTCGACCCCGGCTCCAGCCCATCACCCCCAGCCACGACACAGCAGAGGCACGAGCGGCTGGTGAGCGTGAGCGTGCCGCTTGTGGCCGTTCTTTTCAGCCAGGCAGTTAAATCTCACCGCAGCCTGTGCTGGACAGGTCCTTAGGAAATGAACTCTGGAGAGGTACAACAGTTACTCTGCGTCCAATGACGTAATTAAATGTCGATTTTAACATAATGGTTATGACTGCTCCATCTAATTTCCACACCTGCAACAATAATCCTCCTACCTGAATCTCACCATCTTTTCCTCTGCCTTTAACAAAGCTCTTGCCAGACAGAAATTCAGCAAAGGCAGCAAGAATGCCAACCGCATCCAGGCTGTCCAGGCAACACATCTCTCACCCCAGCTGGAGGGAGCCGCTCCAGAAGGGAGAAGGAAGGTCACTCAGAGCCACTCACGTCCCTGGAGAGACAGGCATTTTTGGATTGTCACTTGTTTCTGTAAATGAGACTGCTTGTAATTGCTTCACTAAATATTCAGTAGGATTTATGTTATAAAGGTGCAATATGAAATAGCAGTGAAGGTCACACATGCTCATGACACGGGCTTGAAATATCCTTGTTCGGCTGCACCATGTGATGTGCCACTCTAGTCCTTTCCAACTTGTGCTCCTAAGGCCTCATATGGCATCAGAGCAAACGGGCAAAGTGTGGCAGGTAGGTAATTCCAAAAAATTCCTATTTTGGGGGAAACATATACGGCCCTCCTGGGAGGATATTCAAGATGCCAATTGTCATGAAGGAGCTGACAGAAAGCAGTACTTGCTCTTCTAGACTCATGATTGTGAATTAAGAACAATTTAAATGCAGCAGCACTTGCATATAGAAGCAGTTACTGGAAATCACCATCGCCTAAAAAGACAAAGTTACAACCGCACTGAATGCATTTGTCCAAGACTTCGTGAGAGATGGAATCACAACAGCAGCGTTTTTCTTAGTTGTTGCTCAAGAAAACAGCCGGCATTTTGATTAATTACAACACTGAACAAACCAACCACCTCCCTCCCCGAAAAGAATTACTAGACTTTAAAGCTGCAATCTAACTTTCTAAGCCAAAGCCTGGAAGGAGACAGGTCACAGGATGGAAGTTTTCAGGCACTCAAAAACCAAGGCTGCGTCAGGGCCGTGCCCACGTCACCAGCAAAGTCCTCACCAGGTGGTACAGTGGGGGCCGGGAGGGACCTGCGGGTTCAATTCTGGTACCACACCCCGGCACGTTTATTTTCAGAGAGAAACTGCTATGCTAAAGTGGAGTTATGGGTTCAATGCTTGAGTGTTCACTCGTTATTTGGAAATTTAAGAAGAGTTTTGTACACTCTTTAGCCTAATAAAGTGCGAAGCAAGTCAGAAGCCAGCAGCACAGACTGACTGGTAATGTTACCTGTGGGAAGTTGAGGGCTGTCTACAGCATTGGAGTTTGTGCAGAAAACAACCACTGCCTCCCACTTCCCAAAGAGCTGCTGTACATGTGGAGCTGTATGCTCCCCACCTCTTGGACCTTGTGCGGTGTATACAGGCAAATGCAAAATGGGTGTATAATTTCACATAAAATTAAAGATGCATGCCAGCACACGGGCGACCATTTCATAGGATCAGCTGAAGAGGATATTCCCACTATTATAACATATATCAGGTGATGAACAGATGCTTCCCTTTTACTATGAGATAAATACCTGATAGGAGAAATGTGAAAATGTAATATCCAATCTTGTTCTAACTGGAGCCATTTCGCCATTCCTTTCATTCATATTCCACCAAATTTTTGCGTACATTACACTGTGCACCTGACACACTACACGCTCAGAATCTGCATGACAAAGCTAATTTTTATTCCACTCATACACGTTTTACTCTAATTGTTAATAAATAAATAAAATAAAATTGAATTTCTGTATTTTTAACTACGGCCTGAGGCTTGCAGTCTGAATCGCTCCTACATTTCCAGGCAATCACCGTTCTCCTTGCACACCTACTCAGTGTGGAAACGTGCTCTTGGGCAGGATAAGGGCTATCCTTTCTTTCCTTGCCCTTTGCTCCGCACTGTTTGCTGGTTTGTAATAGCACAACTCTGAGTGACATTTTAATAAAACATGGGGCTAATAAACATTTCAGCAGTAGTGCTGGAGAATTGATAATGAACAGATTTATGTCAAATTATTCAATATCTGCCAGCCTTCTCTGCTCTCACACTCCCCAATTGCAAGTCCAACCCCAGTGTCTCAAGACGCCTGGAATGAGACCACCGTCGCCCTGCTTCCCCACCCCTCCGCAACAGGCACACGTTTGAGAGCATCTCCCTTTTCCCTGCTATTCAGCAGCTCCAGGGAGGGATGACAGCCATTCAGGGGTTAAAGAGAGGCAGTGAACCCCCAGCTAATGAGTAAGAATTCAGCAGGCAGTGTAAGATAAATGGAGCTTTCTCTGCTTCTGCTGGAGTCAGCATGAACTGCGGCCCTGCGGCTTGTTTGTGGCAAATGGAGTGCGCGAAATATCAAAGGGCAGTGATCCAGAAGAAGACCGACTTTGACAAATTTTAAATTGGCCAGAAAGAAAACCAGCAAAAAAAAAAAAAATTATGCAATTCACTGTGTCCTGCAATCTTGGCTTTCCTGCTATGGTACGGAATTAGTGGCAAAACAACAGCAATGATCGCCCAATGTTGGGAGCAATTACGAGCAATCTAAGTGAGATGCTTATCAGTGACTGAAGCTTTTAGAGCTCTCTGTATGTACAGTTGTAAGTGACTTGCTCTTGTGTTGCAGTCATTTTAATTAAAGTGTATGGAGTTTGCTGGGAGTAATTACCCCGTAGAGGAAGAGGGGAAAAAAAGCCCTGAACAGGCTCCTGCCTCCTCACATAGCGCAGCGTTGGATTTTTGAGGCTGTTGGCAGAAAACTATACCCCCTCTTTCTCCCTGTATTTTTTACCGGTGATGCTGGTGCAGGTCCCACCGGTGTGATTCAAGGGTGCTCGGCAGGCATCCCGCACCCACCCCAGGGTGACGGACCCTCTGGAGGGGCCACCCAACAGTGACTAAGCTGGCGTTGCTCTGCTCCCCCCCTTCTTCCACCACTTCAGGATTTGAACACTCCAGCAGCCCTCTTTGTCTGCAGCCAGCGACTCCGCTCCTGGGAAAGGATTCATCCGGCACTCGCCGCGCAGAAGACACCGTTTCTTTGCAGAGGCAGTAGGTTGGTTTGTTCATCGGCAGAGCCGGTGCTTTTTACGGCGGGGCGAAGGTAAATACTCTCAGAAACAGTGCTCCTGCCGTAGTGCCATTTATCTACATGGACCTGAGCTGACTGCTCAGCATATTGCCTTCTCTAACCACACATCTGATTTCTCCTGCCCTTGGAGACTCGCGCACCAGACCGGCAGCTCTCCCGCATCGGACGTCGAGGTCCAACACCCGCAGGAGCCGCAGCTGTGAGCCCTGACTGCGTTAAGGAACTCAACTGCAGCCTTTAAACTGTGAAGGGTGAAACACCTTAGGAGAGCATTTCTTGGGACCCTCTGCTGGGTCTCCACGATTTGGTGTAGTCACACTATCCGTTTGCTCCTAAAGGGACACTGTCAAGTCTAACATAGGTCAAAAGCAAGGTTTTCTGAAAAGAATCTCCTTGCCGCGACTACAAACATTAAAACTGGTTTTTAATTCCAACAGACACAGGCAGACAGAACAACACATCCATCCATCTGGGTATCTGTGTCCACTCCCTCACGCAGTAACACATAATGTACGTGAGCAAGACCTGAACTCAGATAAAACTGCTGCCTTGTGCTGGTCTGCAAAACTCAAACACCTGCTAACCGGCTTCTTGCCCAGAAAGCAATTGGCACAGTGAGAGAAAACAAAGAGAGTGTCAAAATACTATCATTAAAAAAAAGAGAGAAAATGTCTTTGATGCTGTCAAAGACATCAGTAAGAACCTGGTTTTCAGCAGTCTGATGCTTAACACTCCCCGCACCCTTTACAACTATTATTCGCTTCCCAAGGCATATCAGAATGGTTGTTTTGTATATAAATTGTTGCACTGCCATAAATTAAAAAAAGCCAAATAATAAAATGTAACTGCAGCAATAGCCACGATTTATCAGTCATTTGCAGAACACTTTTCCTCCTGAAGGATCCCAAAAGGCTTTATAAATTCAAACCATACCCATGTAGCATGCTTCTTCCACTACTGAAATGTAGTCAATTTTGGAGGTAAAAAGAGGCTCTGTAAGATTATACTCTTACAGTAAGAGCTAGTAAAGAACTCTTTAAAGAGTCTATTCCCTGAGAGAGTACATATCTGATATTAAGTGCATTTTGCTGAACACTCTGTGTTTTGGGTTGTTGGGTGTACACCAAGCGCTGGGATCATTTGGAGCGAAAGGCACCATAATAATCCAACACACAGTGACGTGCTAGCCACTGAGCACTGCACATCACCCCGTATTTTACTGAGGAGGTGAACAATATTTTTTATTTTCTTGAAACTGAAGAGCAGACAGGTATCATTACTCAAAACTACCTCAGACACACAGTTATAGACCAGCAACCCAAAATGTCTTTGATCAAATTCTTAGTTACGCCAAACGACACCAGCTTAAGTTTTGGCCCATGAGCTTTTAGTGAGCTAAGCAATTGCTGAGATGGAAACTAGACTCAACCATCTGTAGTAAGTGTCTGTTGTTAAGACCCATTCAATAAAACAAAACAAAAAAATCAGTTTGAAAAGACACTAGATTACAGACACCCTAGGTACGCTAAATGCACATGAATATCATCTCTCTCGCATGTACATACATGCAGCTTGTCTCATCTGGTTTTCTTCCCAAGTTAGATGACAGTAAATAAAAATTATCATGAATTTGATAAAATGCCTCAGTGCCCCTTTTTAAGGTCTATAAACACATTCATTAGCCACCAGCTGAACGGATCACTGCTCCGCCAGCCCCCGCGCAGACGTACCTAGCCGCTCTGCCAGGCGGATGTAGACCGGGTCCACTCGCCTCATCGTCTTCACCAGATCCTTCCTGCGGAATTTGATTTCTACCGTCCCCTCTGGTTCCAGGATTCCTCCTCTGATCAGTGACGGGAAAAGAGAAAAGAAAGGCACTTTCAGGTCATCAGACAAGGGGAAACACAAAATGGAATGGTTCAATGTTATCTAGAAAGTATGTAAAAAAAGAGAAGAGAAGAGAAGGAGGGGAGGGAGACAAAACAAAGAGAAAGAGAGAACAGGAAAGAAAGAATCTTAGCTATTAATTTATCCAATGCCACAAATGCACACCAGGCTTCACAGAAACATGTCTATCTAACAGTATATAGTACAGCCTGGTACAAGCAATGCTCTTCAGCAGTCTCTTTTAAGCTGTGACCTGAAAGCTCTTTCAAAAGGTAGGTAAGCTTTATGAAACAAACCAATTAAAGAGCCATTTTCATTAGAGATCCTGCCCACTTCCCAGGTCAAAGAGAGAGGAGCACGTGATTTGAAACTTGGGCTTGGTAAATAAAATCACTTCGGTCTTTAACTGTGAGGGGGGAGTAATGTCTAGGAGGAAGGTCAGCGCTGAGGGTTATGGAACAGTGACAGCGATGAGAATTATTACAAATGCGTAACAGTACTTAGGGACAGGATGACATATTTTGCAAAATAATCTCTTTGTTGGCTACTGGAGCTCAAGACCTCTAGAGTCCAACTACAGCTCTGCAAACCACACACGGTCCTTCCTGATGTCTTGCAAGGTGGGGAGCTGGCATGAGATTTCCACGAGGCGAGCTCACACTGCCGGCATCCTAGAAAGGTATGGGGCAGAAGCAGCGCGAGGGAGTTGTTCCTGCATGCACCCCAAAAAACGCTTGGTGGGGGAAGGAGTTTGTAGAAATCCTGCTCACACTGTGTCTGACTGTGAAGCAAACAGGCTCCACGTTTCTAAGTAGAAAAAGAACAGCAAAAACTTCTGACTTCCAGGAGGCAAAGATTAGACAATGTTTGCTCAAAGACGCAGGAAATACCGAGGCCAACAGACCACAGGTCTCTCTGTCTCGCTTTTTTAGAACAGAGAGAGAGGCAAGCGTGCCATCAGGAGCAAAATTCAGCTGGGAAGGGCAAGGGAAATGTGCATCTGGAAAGGGCATCTTCTCAACTCCTCCACGCGTACGCTTTTTTTAATTCCCCTAGCAGCTGCCCAAGAATTTTGCCCTGCTGAGATGGTAGGAGTTGAGAGGACACCCTGATAGCACAATATTCATGCTGTCCTTCCACACACCTTCCTTCTACCTGCTACAGATAGCCCAGGTAGGGCTGGCTTTTTCCTTCAAATGATTCAGTATCTCTATATTTTAGAGAGTCTTTAAAATATTTTTTAAAAATTGCTTCAAGAGTTTGCCTGTAGTTTTATATCCTGAGCCACCAGGAACTAGAACTTCACTTACGCAAGTTGTATTTAATTAAAAAGGCACAACTACCCAAGTGCCCATATGACAGATAGTAGAACACTCAGGGATTTTAAAGTACACACTTATTTACACTTATTTAATTTGCAAAATTGTATACACAGGCACTTGTTTCAAAGCACAAAGCAGTATGTGGCAACACCAGAATGGTAAGAAAATCCTAAGCACCAATACCTCGCTGTGCTTTGTGAGTGTTAGTAATGAACCTTCCCAGAGGCTGGCTCTGAATGGCTGCAGAAATTACTCCCATCTAAGTCTGAGTCAGGAGACTATCATCTGAGTTGTCCTAGCTGTGATCACTACACAGCAAACTCCTCCAAGACACGAGTTATAACTAGAAAGTGGTCAGTCCCTTTCAGTGACAAACTACCACACTCCTAACTGAGAGCTTCTCACTCAGCCAGGTAATTATACCTCAAAGCAGGTGGTTACAGAGGGAGGAGAAAGGTGCCGTACCTGCTTTCTCGGTCTGCGTACATCTCCATATGACGAGGATTAATGGTAGGGTCAATCACAGCCCAGGATCCTCCTCTCAGCTCCGCTTGCGGTGGGATGTAAATAAGCACGGGTTGACGATACTCTCTCAGACCGTCCACAATGTAGGCACCAAACTTGAGCACTTGGTCATACATGTCTGCGGAAAAAGGACACAGCACTTGAAGTCACTGCATGTCAGTGCTTCAGCCCTGCCATGCTGGAAAAACCCCACAGCTATTCAGCTCTTCTAACCACCTCCTGCTACCATAATGCAAGCTCTGGCTGGCGTTACCTGGACCTGCACAAGACAGACTGAGAAAGGAGATGTTCCCACATCGGTCCTGCTCCCAGACACTGGACCCCACTCTGGAGACCTGGTCCAGTTACCTCCCACGTAGCCACATCTATTCACAAAACATGGACTGCAGGGTCCTCAGTTCACACCTACACCACATGTCCTGCAGATAATCCATCCCTTACTTCCCAGCCAAGGCAATGCGTATTACAGCAGTTTGGGAAGTCAGGCCAGGTATTTCTGTACTTAATAGGAGTGCAGCTGCCCAATTTCAGACTTACTAGCATGGACCTGTATCATGCTTCATGTAACGTCCATGGCACACCTAACAGCAGCAGGCCTTTTACGTACCTTTAGAAAAATTAGTGTGTGCGGAGGATGTGAAACAGCGTTCTTCTCTTCTTGCATTAAAATTTAAGGCATTTTGCTCAAAATTAATAAGAACAACTCCACTGTGTAAAGACAGTACATTGAACATATCAGCCCCAAAGGTGATTTAAATAAAAGAGAAAAAAGGAAGGTGAAAGAATTTATATGAGATGATATAGTTTATATTGGATATAGTTTGTAATGGAAACAGGCAACCTCGAATATATATATTTTGTTACATATAATTATATGTAGAAGTATCAAATCAAAGATACAAGAAATGAAAAATGCTTATTAGGATCATCTAGTCCATCTCTTTGTTCACACAGGACTGTATCCTACGTTTCTTTTCCAGTGCTTTTTAAAGCTTTCGTTTAGAAATCCCAAATAATAAATCTACTACTTCTTTAGGAACACTTGCACAGCCAAATAGATGAAATTTTTCTCAATATTCAGCCAAACTTCCCCTCCTTGCCCATCCCCATTAATTTCATACTACTACTCCTTGCATCACCCTACATAATCTCTTCACTCCTTCGGGCTTGCTATAAATAGCAGTAGGCTTTTCAGGTTTTTTTTTCCTTACACACACTATAGGTATTCATTTCTCATCTCTCCCAGGACAGTATTTTCAATCCCCTTCAACATTTTTGTTCTTTGCTTAGTGCCTCCCAGTTCGCTTAATTTTTTCTGGCCATTAAAATACCAGTGTACAGAGCAGAAAAACTAAGTGGGTTGCATACACATACCACGCATACATGCTGGCCTTCAGTAACAGTCTTAAAAGACTGAGATGCTTTTATCCATCTAAAATCCTTACAATCATTTCAGAAAGCCATCATTTCCAGGGAAGAAAGAGACTCCACCCAACCCCAGTTTAATGTTCAGCATTAACATGAACATACACACACACACGCTCTTATATATATACAAACACTAACATATATAGAGCAAGCAAGAGAGGTGTATATAAAGTTTGTGTGTGTGTGTGTGTGTGTGTGTATATATATATATATATAAAAGTACCATAGACACTGATGTGATCTCTCTGGTTCATTTGCAAGGTCATTGTCCAAGTACCCCAGAAAAGGAGTTTCATGTTATTTAAAAAATGTCAAATGCTGATGAAGAGAAGAACAATTTACTTCCTCTAATTGCAAATAAACATAAATTCTGGCAGAGATGGTGGGGACTGAGAACCAAACAAAACTCCAACCTTTTCCTTTGTCCTGAGCAAAGAAAAAGACCTCAAAAGGGGTGACAAATTTATTACTAATTACACAATTATTTTATTATGTAGTGCAAGTAATAAACCACTTGAAGTACTTTCAGCTAATTCTAGTGTTAAGAAAATAATTGCTTGATTCAAATTATTTTAACTGAATTAATTCTTTACTAGACATTTTTTACTGGTGCTACATAATAAAATAATTGCGTAATTAGCAATACATTTTTCACTCCTGCCAAGGGTATATATTTTACTCAGGTTAAGTGTAGAAAAAAGAAGTGCTACTTGTTTGAACAAGGCAGAGGGAGAAGGAGTAGAGAATTTGAGAGAAACTTGACGCTTTCTGTGCATAGCTCCAAATCTCTTTCAGGTTTACCAGGTGGCATCAGCAAGGTCAGGGAAGTATTTCTGTGCCTACAATACTTTCAGGATCAGACTGTCAAAGCTAGCCCAAAGCATGAACTTTACCGCTATGCAGTTCTGTACACAGCTACTCCTTTTGGGATCCTGCAATAGAGCACTTCATTTTCCTGGAACGTCCCAGCAGCCTTAGTTTAATATTTTGTATATGGATTTACACCAACTGCTGGCTTCTCTTGCATGCTCAAAACTTCCACTGAGGTGAATGGACCTGCTGCTGCACTCTTGGGCTATAGATACACCTTAATACTTTCAGATCTGGCTGTAAACTCCTCTGCTGTAGAGGATTTCCCCTTTTCTTATGGTAACTGCTTCTACTAACAGAGACCAAATTTTGCTCAAATAAGGAAGAGACAATCAGCCTGACTGCCACCACCGAAGGGTCCCCATGGTGCCATGCACAGCTCCAGAGACGAGCCAAAGGGAACTACAGCATCCATAGGCTATGGAAGGGCTCCTGCTCTTCTACACGGTCTTCCCCTCCCGCCATCTCAACTGTTCAGTTTGCCTACACTTACCACTTCAGCAAAATGGGGACTCTTAAAGAATGTGTATTTTTAGGAGGTAAAATATAAGTAGAGTTGATGAAGATCATAAAAATACTGCAAAGAGAACCCAAGACACCTGCCTGCAGTCCCCATACCCAATCACCAGAACACACAACCTCCCTGATTTACATTAATATTGTATTTGAGTGTGAAACTATGAAACATTTGCCACACTGTGACAACTGTCTCTTATTTGCAGTTTTGCTGCATTTTCCACTCTTACAATGGAAAACAGTGCACCAAATTTAACTGCTGCAGGTGGTAAATGATGCCACGTCTCAATGGTACCCACTGCTCTGTGCTTGAGCCGTAGTGCTGTGGTACAGTGCAGACTTTATAAACTGTTAATACTGTAACTAACACACTTACTATGTTTAAAACAAAACCTAGTTGCTTCCATGCAGCAAAGAACACCACACACATTTGAAGAGCAGGTGTTTGCACAACTGTTCTTTGAAAAGAAGTTGCTTATGTTGAGAATGGAAAAATTAAAATTAAATATTGTATTTGTGGGCCAAATTTAATTCCTGTATTAATTTAAACCTCAGCATAATGAGCCACTTGTAAGACAGAAATGCTGCAGAAGTCCTCTAGGAAAAGCAGTGTTGTTCATTATTCAGTAGGGCAGACAGTGTTCGCAGCACACTTTCCCATTCTCTGCCTGCCTGCTCAGCTGCAGTGTGCATCAGCGTCTACTACACATAGACATGAAATCTGCTGGAAGCTGTTATCATTACACTGTATGTGTAAATATTGGCAGTCAGATGCATCAAGCATGCTCGAAAGGCTGCAGACCGCTTTTTGCATTTCCATAGTGTCGGGCAGCGTGCCCTGAACCTCCAAAGCTGGAACGGATCTCATCAGCTTGGCTGGATTATCAGATAGGACCTGAAGGTAAACACCAGGCATATATTGGCTGCAGACACATAATGTCCCTCATAAACCCATTACACACAAGCAATACCGTCATTCAACATCCAGGTAATCAGAGATTTAAAACAGCCTTTTCATTCTGCTGGAATTTTTTTTATTGTTATTTATAACCTGTCCCAGGAAAAAATAATAAGTAAAACATGAAAAGCCAACTGCGAGTGACCCTGTAGCACAAGCAGCGCTGCAGTTTAATGTTGCGGGGATTTGCATGCTATCAAACTATTCATGCCGAGTCCAAGACCCTGGTGCTAATTTCCAGTAAATTTCACGCTTGATGTCTCCCCGTTGTGGGTCACTGCCGGTTCGCCTAAATAAACCACTTCCAAATGGCTCCTCCATCTAAATATTCAAGCCAGTTTTTATAATTTAATTTTGCATTATGCTGAATAGCCTTCTGGCCAGATAGAGCTCATTGGGAAAACCACCAATACCATTGCGATATGCCTTTATTTATGTTATTTATTTATTTATTTTATGGCTTGAATTAGACCTCCTAGGCCGATGAGGAAAGAGGGGGTGTTTTTTTCTCTCTTTTTTTTTTCCCCCTTCCACTAATGTCAATTTTCAGCATAGCAAGAGCTGTCTCTAATCTTTTCCTACTCATTACACACAATTTTGGAGTCATTTTACCCACAGTGCAGTCGGCTCCTGGCAGTGTGTTTGTGTGCACTGAGGGGTGGCATAATTGTTTATTTTCCCTCCCTGCATAATCCCCAGCCAGCAGTGAAACCAAAACTGTGAACAACTCCCCAAGGAACACAGAGTGTGTCAGGAGAGACCAACACTTGCTATGCAGGCCCCAACAGCAAACAAGATGCAGGAAAATACACGGACCAAGGTGCAAACTGCAATGGCTCTGTTCTTCTCTCCTCTGTGGCAGCTCTCTCCTCCTCCTCCTACCAGCTGGGGTGGAGTAAGTGGGGATACGCAATACAAATATTAGCATCCTTGTAGTGCCTTCTCCTCCTTGGGCTTCTGGTCCAAACTCCAAAGCTAAACTCATTTTCTGAGGAACCCAGCAAAGGGCACTGGCAAAGCCGGCAGATCTTGCCACATACCAAGGCAAAATAATATTTAACGAATGCTTGGTAAAGTTACATCAACAACTTCCCCGTAAGTTGTGCAGTAGGGAAAGCAAGTCACAAAGGGAGTGCAGTAGCAGCACATGGAGTAGAAACCATCCTGAAAGGTAACAGGTATTTTCCAGAGGAAAGAATTTTGCCATCTTTCATCTTTGCATCTGCAAACTCAATGGCATTGCTTTCTGCCCTGCTAATGAGACAGCAGAGCAAGACGGCCTTTATCACCCTGTGAGTCTTTCCAGAGCAGGAACTTTCACCACCTTAGTGCATCTGTAACTTTTCTTCTGTGTTTGTTAACTGACACATGCAGGTAAGAGGCCCTAATCTTTTTCTTATTTAAATTTCATAGTATCAATCTCAGATCCTTGGCATTTCGCAAAATTTAAAGTAGCAATATGTGGTGCAAAAACGTAACTGCTGGTGTATTAACTGCGCAGTTTTATAACTGTTCACTTCCTCTGAACATAACTACCACCAAAAGAGTCAGCTGGGAGACAGTCCTTGGTAGGACAACATTACATTGGGAAAAAATCATCAATGAGACAATGTTGACAGAATATGCCTATGCATTTTTGATAGGCAATATTGTTGGCTTATCCAGCCCCACTTTTAAGCTGAGGCAGAAGGATATAAAGCTTTCTGAGCAGAAGGGGTTTCCCTGAGATTGCTGTTTAACTAGGTCAGGTTGGCAGCTGTAAATTTTGTTAGCAACCAGACAACTGTTAACATCCAATTACCTGTTCTTACTGCAGATGAGACTCGGTTTGACTCGATGATCTTCAAGGTCTTTTTCAACCTAAACGATTCTATGATTCTATGATCTGGCCAGTTCCTATAACTGTGTATGAGGGCACATCTAAAAATACAGTTGCATTGCATATTTTGAAAAGAACTTGATAGCAAATTTGCACCTTGCATATTCTATGTTATTCCTGCTATGTGCCTATTAAAGACAAGACACACGTGGGGAGGAGAGGAATGAAACCCTTCGTCACCATAGCTACTGCAGCATAGAGTGTCCCTTTCCTCTAGCTGGTTGTGCAATGATCATGACTGACTTTCAGGAGAGCCGGGAAGAGCATTGCCATGATTTCAGAGGGCTGACATGTCCAAACACTCTGGTAGGCCTAGAAAAGTATCCCCTTATTAGCACTTCTAAGGGAGGTCACATACTTGCCATGAAAGAGGGGGGCTGGATGCAGGCTGCATCAAAGACGGGTGAAGCAGATCCACCTTGCAAGTTTATGGGTACAAGTTGTCACCACAGTTAAGCCAATCTAATAGCTAGCTGCTGCCCAAAGACAGAACCTAATTCTGTCCCTTGCCACACACTCCCACTGCTGGTCTGTCCCCAGAGAACTGCTTCAGGATGCTAAACCAGTAGAGCTAGTGCCACTGGGTACAGCACAGTGGCGAACAGCAGCGGTGCCCTGAGCAGTGAAAGACAAGCCATTCTACAGGACAACACCAAAAGGGGATCCAAATTAATGGTTACCTTTCATTCCACCAGAGAAGCCTCTCCAGTTAGCAAAGACCATCAGAGGCAGCCCTTCTCTGTTAAAATCATTGATAGCCTGCGCAGTCTTAAAGGCAGAGTCAGGGAGCCACACCTGACCAGCCTGCTGGATTATCTGTTGGGAATAAAAAAAGATTATTCAGCCTTGAAACACATTAACGTAAGAGTTGGCATAAAACCATAGAAATAGATGCAACAAGAGCTGTGACGTGGAATTAACGATGAGGAATGCAGCACTTGAAATGCTTAAGGATATGCGTACCCACAGAAAAATTGGGACAATCCTTTTGTCACCAACATCAACAGGAGTGTTCCCATTGATTTAGCTAAGAAGTATAGAGACGGTATGGAAAGCTTGACACTATGACTCCTGGAAGAAGGTGAAAGAGAAGAGAGAGAAAAGGATATGCAAAGGAGAAAACTCCGAAGAGATGATGTAGGGCCAGAGCTGTGAAATCAGGCAGGAGAAAAGCAAAATGTCAGAGCAAGAAGACCATGAAATGCTATGGTCACAGCAAGAGAACAGGGAAATGATTTTTGCTTGCCAGGTGTCCTGGGCCCTAGTCCCTGCACCTCACCTAAGTCGTAAAAGAAGCAGGACTGCTGGGGAATGTGTCTGCTGTACGAATGGCCAACACAAGTATCCATTTGCTCCTCCCAGCAACTGCCGTGCATTAGCACCTCACCAAGGAATGGCTATACTTTTTGTCCCATATTTGGAGGAAAAAATCCCATCAAAACAAGTCACAGAGACATTTGTAGAGGACAGACAAGCGACCAAGCACACGTTCAACCTACCTTAGCCTCAGAGTCCAGGTTTGCAGGATCAGCAGGGATGCTGAGCTCCACTGTTCTTGTTTCTACGGCAACTACTCCTACAGGTATTCCTCCCAGCCTGGTAACATGCGAGACAAATCAAAATTCGTATTTCTACTGTTATACAACTAGACATTTTTTCCAATTTGCTTCAAAATACTCAAGAGAGACAAATAATACAAGCAAATGGCGGAAGAAGCATTTTGGCCTTTTTGAAGAGTTTAGGCATATGGATGGAGAATTGCAGAGTAGAAGTCACAGTTCTCAAAGCAAAATCTAGTTCTAAAAAGTAGCACATACCTCACTAAAAATTAAATAGAATAAACCAAAGCCCCAATTTTGAACAATATAGCTACATCTCCACCACCCTTCACCTGCCACCACAAGGTTTTGATACTGATGGTCTTGACCACAAAAAATATACACGAAGACCCAGGGCTTCCAAAGCCCTGCTTTCACAAGCACAGTCAGCTGATTAAGTACATCCACAGGCTGTGTCTCTAAGCAATGCTGATGTCTCAGCCACCCTAAACCTTCACGGCTTACAAAACCTCCCTTTCCCAAGAGTTAGGGTGAATGATGGGTAAAAGGTTTGGGTTTGCCTGTCTATCTCCTCCCCAGACCCTCTGCTGCAGGATGACTGCAAGGGTGGGAAGGGTGCAGGGACAGAGGGATGGGCAGGGAGTGTAGACACCAGGGAGGATGCTCAGCTCCACTTTCCACAGCGTCTAACCGCTCCTTTACACAAAAGGCATCTTGCTTGCGATGACAACTGCTTACTCCCAGGATGGGAGTCCCAGCAGAGCCTACACTCTCTCCTTAACCACCTCAAGCTGGATGACATGCACTGCAGGCAGAAAAAGCGACAAGGCCTATGTGCACTAGGGGGTTGAAAATATTCCCATTCACTATGATTAAGAGTCTGCCTAGAAACCCGTAATTGCAGAAGCCGTCTTAAATCGGTAACTTATAACTTCTATATTAGGGCCCATGTGACCTAATAAAGAACATCTTTATCCAAGTATTACAGTTATTTATTGAACTTGAAAACAGCTCAAAACAACTTCTGTTTTCCATTATACTTCATATAAATTTTATCAGGCTAGCACATGAAGATGCTACATCTTGTTTTATAGTGTGTCCCTGGACAAGTTGCCATAGAATAATAAAAGACAATTTACAGCCAACAGCACACATATTCCAAACATACATACAAAAGATGAGTTTTGGCAGCACTTACAGTAACAATCCCAGAAGAATACATTCCTATTTGTTTTTTCAAAATGCCACTGCTTTTGAAAGAAGTCAGTTTCATTTGTATTATATATACCTGTATGTGAGAGTCCAAAGCAACTTGGAATTTGTCAGAAGACAGGAACTGCAAGTGAAGCTGAGCATGGGCCTGGACAGAGACCTTCTAGCTTTGCCAAATCATTGATTTCCCCCTCCTCCTCACCCCACGGTATACTGCTTAACCTAAAAGCCTTTAAATAATTATAGGATGTTGTGAGATAAAACTTTAGAGTGTCACGGATGGCAGATAAAAATATGAAAGTGTATCAAAAGGTCACAGGACACCTCAAGGTTACCTGCTACAATTAGGAGTGGAGTCAGCAGGTATTTTTGGCTCCTCTTAACAACGTATAAAGATCAGACAATATTCTGAGTGGAAAGGATCTTCAGGGGTAATAACACTCAGACCCCTGGGACCAGCAGCGGTCAGAGACATGAAACTCCGAGAAGGCAGAGCTGAGCTGCACCTGCACATGAACGCCCCTTTGGCTCAGCAGCAGTTCGTCTCCAGCAGGGCTTGTACAGCCCGCACACTACCGCGTTGCTCTGTCTGGAGCACAGACTCCTCCTCCTGCCCTGATATCGTATCTGAGGAAATGGGTATGTTTCTCCGTATCACATTCTGCACTAGGAGAGTCCAAAGGCTGTTCTAAACATGTCAAAGACCCTCAAAAGTCTTAAGAAAAGAGCAACAGAGGGACATTTTGCTGAGCACACCCTCGTATCTGGAAGCCTCCTTCAGTTATTACACAGAATTTCATGAACATATTAACAGAGTTTCTGATGGTTGTTTTAGAGACGTCCAGAACGGACACAATCCTCTGAGATGTTGCACATGAGTTCTAGTGAATATCATAAGCTTTGCTATTCTATAGCACGACCTCTGGCTCTCTGACCCTCATTAGGGAGACTTTGTAGAGCTGCAGCTTTAAACAGGCTAAAAGAGAAATGGGAGCTCCCAGTGCCAAATATTCTGGGGCCACGTGTGCTATCAACATAATGGAGATAAGAAACAGCATTGATTCATGGCTATACTGGCTGGGAGCCTAGGTGGCTATCACAGTTGTGCTGTGTGTTTCAGGAACAGTGGTGTCTCTCCCTGCCTCCCACTGAATGCTCCGGTAATCAAACACAGCATCACCAGGGATATTCTGGTACTACGGCCAGTCCTGGAGTCACCAATCTGGTGAGGCTGGAGGCTGATGGAGTCAGACCCCAGGGGTGGCCACAGGATTTCCAGAAGATTGTAAGCATTATCAGGTAATTTGGCTCTGGATTGTTGGCACTGTGATACTGACAGTACGGGAGGTGAAAGGTCTGTAAATAAAAGATTTTTCTTTGGTGCAGACTTCTGCTAGGAACTAAGGCACTCTGAACACCCGTCATGCACGGGCACAACTGTATCTCATTAAGTGTAACACCTGAAGCCTCCAGGATCTCATTCAGGCACTTCAGGTTTTTTTCCTCCCCTCTCACTTGCTAAGAAAAAAAATTAAAAAAAGGCTGACAATTAACCAAAAACACTGACATCAATTAGGAGCTGTGAGTCTGCTGGAGGCAAGAGTATGAAGCTCTGTCTTGAGAGGGGAGCTGGCAGTAGCCTGAGGAATGAGGAGTGACAAAGGATAAGCACGCTGCATTTGGACAGCTCAAGCACTTGTAGTGGAAACTCAGGGGAGACAAATGTACTCTTTCAAAATGGCTTTATTCTGAGAGGAAGTACACAGTCGGATCAGGAAACTCACAGTGCCGTTTGGGGCGGCCAAAAAACTAAAGAAGAAACTAGAAAAGAGATGATCGAGGGGGTTTTGAGCCCAGCTCTGATTTGCGTTCCGTCAAAATACAGGATCCTATTTCCAGGCTTTTGCATCCTGCTAGCTCTGAGAGTTCACGAACCTGCAACACCGAGAATGACCCAGGCTGCAAATATTTTCAAGGCAGAGATCTAAATCTCGAGGCAATGGGGAACATTTTAGAATCCTGCACAGATGCCACTTCGCAGCAAGGTAAGGGGAAGTGACTCCCCTTGGGGGAAGGCGAGTGCCACAGGTCTCTGGATCATGCACATCTCTGCATCATGAAAAACTAAGATCAGGTGTGGCAGGTTCTTGTTTGGAAACCATTGCAAGTTATTCCACACAAACCTCAACACTAAGCTCTTCTCTACACAGACCTTCTTGAAATTTGCTCTACTTTTAGCTGAACTTCTCTTGCAAGTCAAATAAAATGCAAAACAATAAACGGCGTAATGTGCCTTCCACTAAGTCAGAGCTGCAGGAAGGTCTCACTGTGCCACCGTGAACCTAGGGAAGCATATATTGTCTGCCATAAGTTTTAACAATATCTCTCTTTTTGGCTTTTGTCCATGTTAAAGCTGTCACCTCCAAGCAAAACAGGAGAAATGATCAGACCATGCTTCATTCGTGTGATAAAGAAGTATCCTATTCAAGTAATGACTTATTTTTACTTATAGCCACCGACTTTCAAAGGATGTTCTAGAAAAACGCAAAGCATAATGAAAACTTGATTTCTACAAATGTCTAAAATGCCCCTTAGAATTTACCTTGCTCTACCAACCACAACTGTCTGCGCCCAGGGCTGCATGATCTCCAGGAACGAGCCATTGTCAAAGAAACCACTTAGCCACTGTCCTTTTTGACCTAAAGGGAAAGGAAAAAAATGGAAATATCAGAGGAGAGAGGAGGGAGGGAAAAAAGAAGAGAGAACATCAAAGGAGCAACTGATACTTGCTTAAAAATGCCAACTGGAGAATGTGGCACTGTCTTTTTATTTATTTATTTTTAAATAGATTATAATACAAGGGAACATTAGACAGCTGAGCATTTGTCTGCCTTCAGCCATCATGTCTTATTTCATTTGCTAGTCTGCATAAAGACAGTAATTTATCAGCAAAAGCATCATTTATTGTTAAACGATGGGGTTCAGATAGCAAAGGGACTTTGTATGCTTTTAAATAAATAACTCTGTTTTTTTCAAGACACTACAAACATTTGTCAAAAGGCAGTAAAGTCATTAAAGATGTTTTTCAAAATGCCTATTTCTATTTTAAAACTTATCTCACATTTTTTTCTTGATGCTGCCTACTCTTTCTTTTAAAGAAAGAATGCTGAAGACATTCAGGAACCAAATGTAAAAATTTCTATGATATTTTAAAACTAGACAACACATCTGAGCATGTTTCACACATTCTTTTAGAAAAACTTAATTCTGATACCAAAAGTCTAATTGCTCCATAGAAGACACCAGATGATGTACCTCTCCCTAAACTAAAGCGTGCTTTAAGAGTCACCATCCTGGACCAGACCATATGCTATTCAGACCTATTCTCTTGCCCAAAGGCGGCAGCAGCTTCCTAATGCTTGAGAGAAATCAAACTGTTCCCAAAGAGAACATCACCAAGATGACTCTGCAGTTCTGAGAGAAATAAACTTTTCCTGACCCTTGCAGACAATCAGCTTCTACACTGAAGTATGAAGGCTTGATTACCCTGATCGTGCTAACTATGAACGAGTATTATCTGCCCTTTATAAAGCCAGTGCAGTATCAGACTTGGGGTTCCTCCTGCATCGCAAACTCCAATATTGACAATACCTCTCCACCTTCATGTGCAACAACATATCACTTCACTAACAATCCACATATATTCCTTCAAATAAAATTCTCAGGATGACAATTACCCCCACGAGAAGTGGGGTGGCAGTTTACTGTGTATTTCTCCACTTTCCACAGGTGTTTCTTAAGCAGACATGAAAGATGCTAGGAACGAGTTAAGCCTCACTACGCTGACGATGCGGTGGCATGGCACTGTTCCACTCTCCAGACAGGAAGACCATGGCAGGAAGGTTTTCCAATATTTCAGCTTGGTCCCTACTCCAGTGAACAGGTAAGGCCACGACGAAGAGCTTCCATTTGGGCTGACTGCTGATGCTGGATTAGGGAGTGACAAGATTTGCAGACAGCTCTCTTTCTGCAGTCCTCCAGCCTGTATAAGCTGCATATCCCAAAGTCAAGGCATTGAGATACTCTACCCACCCAGACAATTACAGAAATCACAACTCTCTGGGGACACCTGCTTTCCACTGGGGCTTCATGAAGCTCTGCAAAAAAACCTAAACCAAAAAACCAAAATCCCTCCCAGCTTTACCCCTTGGCACACAGCTTCTGAGGAATGCTTTAATCTGAACAAGCACCTCTGCTTCTACACACCCAAGTCCAAAACCAATTAAAAGTGGAGATCCAAGCAAGCTAACCTCTGCTGACTTAAACAGGATGGAGAGTGTTTTATCAAGACCAAACTTGTAATTACTGTGTTCTACATTCCTTGCCTCTGTGGCCCCACTGTAAAATGTGACCATCCATTTCAAAATTATCTCTTTATCGTGAGCCCAAAGCTGATCGTTTAGATTCTGGCCTCGTGTCGGGCGTCAGTTTGAAGAATATCACGGCAATATCTCCTCTAATAAATGGCTTTAACTTTTCACCTAGGAGATATCTGCTTTAACTTATCACAGGGAATCATCTGCTTTCCTTAACGCTTCCACTAAATTAAAATCTGAAGTCACTCGATTTGGAAGCCAGCGTTAGCTGCACTCAGACAGCTGGATGAATTACTTGAGAGATGATGAAAAAATATTATCCAAAACCAGAAAACTTAGTTTATCACAAATCTCATTTTAGCCCCCCAAACTCATTAATAACAGCAGGCATAATGGTCACCCAGTTTGCAGCTTGTATGTACACAGGCTGCACAACCCCAAAAGCATGTATGGGGGTTCAGTGATTTGCAGTGTTTCCAATGCAATTACTCTCCAAGATCTGCAGGAATACTGTGATTCCTTTAGCGTACAGACCCTTTGTATATGGACTCTCCTCTGAACCATAAACAAAATAATCTATAGAAGTAACTAATAATTGTATGTGTCCTCAAGCACTCAGAATTTACATGCTATTTTTGTGTATTATATTCAAATTGTTTAGAATTAATAACTTTATAAGCTCTGAAATACATTTGGATTGCAGACATAAAGCCTTGACAAACAGTCTTGAAACGAGACGCACTAGTGCATACCCTGGCCACCAAAGATCTACATACTTGGATTTGGGCGTCCAGCCAGCATCCAGCGAGGATCGTAGGGAGTCTTGGTAGGAACAAACTCTACGGTTCTGTCTATAGGATCCTTGACTTTGAGGATAGGAACAGGGCTGTATACACTCTAAGGGAAAGAGAGAAATATTGAAGGAAGTAATTCTCCTGCACGGCTTTGCACCAAACACCAGCTCTAAAGGACCCAGTCAGAGTCCTCTTTCCCCCCACACTGCACAACCCTCCGACTGACGGGATCCCAGAACCTTGGCAAGAGCCTGCAGAAACTTCCCAAGGTGCTCCATACACTCTTTTAAACCCTCCTTTGGCATCTTCTGGTATACATTGTACTTCATTTGCTCTTGAACTTCAGGCATAGCCAGCATTAGCGAGGGGTTGCAATTTAATTTTTGAAAGGTGACCAGGCCACCTGACTCATTCTATGCACTTTTTCCTGAAGGAAGGTGACCTGCCTGTTCTTGTTGCTACCTTCTTGGCTGCAGAGCAGCTTACACATATACATCAACTCCTACAAATTACTGCCTCAGAGGGGAACTTTTAGACTCTTTTCAGTAAGAGACAATCCACTGCTTACATAAAATCCTGCTGCTCAGAGCACTGAGGGCAGCATGCCAGGGGAGTGATGTGAAAGTACCCAATGCAGTGCCAGGCTGTCCCGCATACCAGCTCCTGCAGCACTTTAAGACAAAACCTACTTTGTTTACTTCAATACCATAATGCTTAACAGCCTTGATCATCAGCCTAAACCATTTTGCTAGGCACCACACTAACACAGAAAAACCCCACAGATACAGCGAGCCCTCCACCCCACAAAACCGCATGAACAAAGTGAATAGGTTGTGGCACCTTGCACTCCGGCAGGGCCAGGAATTACCTTTGGCATGTAGGAAAGCCACTGCAGAATCGTGTAGACTCCTTCAAAATCATCACACACAGTGCTGTGTGTCACTCCGTTGTTGTGCATTATCTGGATCCCGCCCAGCTGGTTGTTGGAGGTATAAACTTCCCGTCCAAGCACCTTTTGAAAAAAAAACCAGAAAAACCATCAGTGGATGGGATGTGACCAGGAGGTGTTGGCTAAGGAGATACATACAAGCCCATCCCTGCAGCAAGTCATGATGACTTCAATACCAACGGATGGAGCAATCCACTCACAAAAGACCTTCCCAAGCCCTGTGTGCAGGTAAGATCTTATGAATAGTGATCCCCAAGGGGAATGAAACAAGTGGGGAAACTGAGGCAGGGGGCAGTTACACAACTTGCCCTTCCCTAAGCAGCAGCAATGGAGCTGTCCAAGTCCAATGTGACCAGGTCTTCTGGGTGCTGACCCGAGCTCAGCTCACTAATTCAAAATTGCTCTGACTAAGACGACTCGCAGGGTGGACCCATTTAAACCTTTAACTGGGGAAAAAACCAACACTGTGCATAAAGATAGGTACAGCAAAGACAAAGCCCCACCAGCTCCTTAGAGAGACTGGAAAGAATAAGACTCTGACTGCTGGGCTTCTAATTCTCTTGCACAACTCCATCTCTAATCTCAGCCCAGGCACCGCAGCTCTTTTCTCATTCTCCTGCTGTCTCTTTCCATTTGCCCTCTCACTGACTGATACACTGATCTCTCGGTCACTCGGCTTTCTGCTCCACTGAGTCCATATTACTAATAACACCTCTGCCACGGCCAGTTTACCTCATGAAGGCAGGAGCACATCATTACAAAATAAACTCATAACTTTGACATTCTAGCAAATACATGCCGTTTGTTATTTTTATGGGTTGAGTCTTTCTAACAGACAGAGGGCATTACATACCTGCTTCATTTAGATCTTAAAAAAACCCACCCTCAAACACACACAAACAACCTGCCCTCCCCCACCAAACAACCAGTGCAGCTCATTTTAGGAGGAAGGGCTACCCCAAGAGAGGAGCAGCCCAGAGCCCAAGGCAACCCGGTCATTACAGAAGGGATGCTTAGGTCTGACTTCATCCTTGTCCTGACATCCTACAATAAGCGCTCAGGACATAACTCATCTCACCCATAGTAGAGGGGAACTCCACATTTCTCAGGGTTTGACCTTATGGGCTGAAAGTAAGAAGCTGCTAAAGGGATATGAAAATAGAAAATTTTGATCTGGTTAGAAAAATACACTGGACCAATTAGCTTTCTTCCTGCACAACATCAGTTAATCACAGCTAGGGTCAGGGAGCCACTGTGCCTATGCAGTAAAGCACAACACTATCATTTGCTAACTCCAAATTTATTTTCCTTTGGAGGAGAAAAGGCCCGGTGGTTTGGCATTTCACAAAACTCAGCATTCTACAAGCACTACGTGATCCTCACAAAACTCCCCGTGAGACAGATGTCAGTCGAGGTTTCCGTACAGAAGAAACCGAGGCACAGAAGTTACGCAACTAGTCTAAAAATTTAGAAGTCAATGGAAGCACTGTGGTTTTGCACAGAGATGTTCCTAGGTCTCCCTTCTAAGCTCAAACACCTTCATCTTCTTCTGACAAAATCAGTGCCATGAAAAGGCATGGTAGAAAAGACATCAGCATAGATTTAGGTTCAAGGAAAAGAAAAGCACAGGCCTCCAGATACCAGGCACAAGCCTAGCTAAATGCTTTCCACAGAGGAAAATAAAAATAAAGAGGATTTAAACTCCCCATCTATGAACTAATGCAAACGTATGTACATGCAAAATGGGCCTCTGCTGCTGCTTATCCAGAGACACTGTAGACAGCTCAGGTTTACCACTGCTGACAGGCAATGAAAACAGTCTAATATACCGCCTGCTCTCGCCCTTAAATCCCTTTTTGGAGATCAAGATAAATATGCAGTTCCTTTTCCCGAGTGCTCCAGACATTTCAGTGAAGTGGCAGAGCATTGTGAGGGGCTGTGCAAATGAAATCCCTCTGTAACACTGAGCGAGCGTTGTATTTACTTGTCAGTGTTTGTCAGCAGAAGCAACGTAGTCCCAAGCTGCATTTAAAAGTTGTACCAATGAGCGCTCGCTGCCTTCGTTTTTATGACATGTATGTCCACACATGTGCGCTTGCACCTGTGCTGAGGGCAGCAGGAGGGACATGTAACATGGGCACACGCAAGCTTCCGAATCATACCCTGGCTTAAGCACAGTCCAAATGCAAAGCCAGCTGCTCCACTCCCCGGTGCAGAAACCGTGCAGCCAAAGGGTTAAAGAGGCTGTCTTCCAGGGATACTGCTAGGCTGGGTGCTGGTCCCCTAACCTGCTTCTGCACGTGTGCTCTTCTGTCTTCTCAGGAACGACCAGAGTTTCTGCCAACTTGTTTCACACATACAGCTGCAGACTGAATTGGGTGCCAGAGGTTAAAAGGCACTGAAGGGCTAGCCAGCTTATAGACAATGATCATTGGGCTTGAGAAAAAAATGAATGCAATAGCTCATCCATTCAGCTCTGCTAACCACCTCATCTCTGACCTCAGAGGACTACATTTTTAAAGGCTGACAAGTAATTCAATCTCCAATTAACAATCTTAAATGGTGCAATGCATATTGCTGTATAAATGTTTCTGCAAGAAAATATCCAAGGGTGAAAGAGAATACATCTGCTGGAGAAGACCAAAACTGATGCTTCTGCAATTAAAGAATTCAGATATTCCTCAATAAGACACATGGTCAGCAGAGACAAGAGTGGATTTAGACGTGTTGCTAAATCAGTTAGACAAGTAATGCTAGAAGCAAACTTGTGGGAGAAGAAAGCGCACAGGATTAAACCCTGTATCTGATATGACCAGGATCTGTCAAAATGGTAAACTTCAAACCCTGAGAGTCTGGGTCTGCCAGGGAGGTACACCAAGTCACATAAAGCAAGAGGTTAAGAAGAGAAAGTAGCAATAGCCCAAGGCTTACAGAAGGCATCTGTTTAATGACCAAACACGTGCACGGAAGGGTTAAGTTTGCAAAGCAGGCCCTTCCTAGCAGAAAGGTTATTAGCACTCCAGGGAACAGTCAAAGATGCAGCTATCAGAGTCAGCTGCCACAGACCAGAGATCAAGAAAGGTCCAGCAAGAAGAGTGGGAAGAAACAGGTTCCAGGATTTTAAAGCTGAGATACACAATACATATATACCTGAATATTGGCAATATTTGACCTCTGATCTTGTCTTAATCTGATGGCAAAAAGGGACAAAAAAGAGCAGCCATGAACAGCAAAGCACCAGACAGTAAGCTTCTGGCACCAGAAAATTTGCTTTAAATTAAAATTTTTTCCACCCCATGAAAGCTCAGAAACACAGAAACCATGTTTCTGTCCACTGGAGTTTGACATGCTACCAGTCAAAGGAAGCTGCTGTGAGTGACGCGCCCCACACAGAGATGCCAAACTTACCCTTTCTGAAGTCACTAGTGAGGACCCCTCACTTCTGTTACTACTCCTTTCCTGCACGTTATCCCAGTGCCTTTGCATTTTGGATATAATTTCTTTTTTCCAACTCAGCTGCAGCCGGTCTGACTTTTGGAGTGAGGTGCAGTGAGTGCTGCCTCCCTCCACTGGAACGTGTCAGCAAACAGGTCTGCTTTCCCTTCTACCAGCAGTCTTTCCCTTGCTGCCCCTTCAAGCACTAGCATTAACCATAACCAATAAAGCAGGACTGCCACCACCTACTCCTCGTGTGTTTGATGCCAAACAGCCTCCCGGTCAATAGGGACCCAGGTCGCATTCGGGTGAGCCGCTTAGTCCCCCCTTCCTTTGCTCCTGAAGACAAACCTTTCAAGTGTGCAGAAAGCAGTGCATGTAACAGGGTACACAGGACAAAATGCCTCCTCTGTACCCCCATCTCAAGAGAAGGATGAGGACATCAGTGAAATGGTCAGAAGGCAATGCTAGTTCTAGAACTGCACGTGATTGCAAAAACACACACTATTTTCCAGATAATGCAACATTTGATACCCCATGCTTACAAAATACACGGGCAGTATTGTCAACACTTACTTCATTTGGTCCTCCAAAAGCCACTCTCCCTACCGTAATGGGAAACCACATTTCTTTTTACTCCAGAGGATCTTTTGGAAAGTACAAAGGAGACCCAGGACTCTAGCAGCCTTTTCAGCCTTTAAAAGGCTGTCCTCAACAGGTTTATAGGCATGTCATATGCATATTAATCATTTTCTAGCACTCAAACCCATGATGACCAGCTGCTTTCTCTGTGCTGCTTTTCAGAAACTGAGCTGCTAGTTAGTTGAGACATTCACTGCAAAGCTGGTTTGGCTGCAAACTTGATTGGCTCATATGTTTCATCAAAGATGAAAGATCTGAAAAAATGACAGCAGAGGGCTTGAATGGGAATCATTATGTAACATAAGTGCTGTTATTATTCAGAGCATATCATGTGTTTATATCAAATATAAGTGCCAGATTTTTATCCGAATAATTTCAATAATTGCAATTCCCATCCCACCATTTATATTATCTGCCAGAAACCTGAAGCAGAAAAGGCACACGCACATACTATAAATAGCCTATTTTTCATAAACAGGCAGAAACGATCAGAACGAACGTCTCATCAGAAAACACAATGTAGGAACTTAAAACCTGACTGCTATTATGTGCAGTCAAGCCTCAACAGATCTTAGAGTGTTCATTTCTATCACTCAGCTTTTCCCCCACACATATCATGTCATTAGAGGGTAAAATAGCAGCAACGCCAAAGAGGAGAACCATGCCGAGGTAGGATACCAGCAAGAGCCGTGCTCCTGAACAGACCTGTTCCCGAGTCTTTAGCCTATTCGCATGGCGGTGCGAGCGCAGACACCTCCTCTCTGCCTGGAGACGGACTGCACTTCTTGCATTTCTAATCTATGAATGTGTGCAGTTCCCGCACTTTTAATTTACGAGCGTTCGGTGGGGGACCCTTCTGACTTGGGAACATATTGGCTCGGTCTAATGCTTGGAGATTATTAAAGTCAGAGCTATACTCCACTATCAAGTCTACAGATCTTTTATTTAGAAGATATGGTGCTCTAAATGCACAAAGAGCTCCCCGT